CCAATTCTACATATAGGTTAATCTTTATTGAAACAATTTCTTATACACTAAGCTTTGATTGTCTCTCTAATGTACTGATCTCTTAATACGCGATGGAGAATTTTTCCACTGCCGTTTCGAGGGATCTGGTTCACAAATTTGACACCTCCTCGAAGTTGCTTATAAGGTGCCACTTGGTCTACAAAAATAGACAATTTATTTAATTACCTTCAAAAGTAACTTGTACTACCGGCAAGAAAATCCTTCACTTCTTCTTCTGTTAGCGTTTGGTTAGGGACGGATACCACAAATGCAAAGGGCACCTCACCGTCTCGCTCGTGAGGAACGCCGATTACAGCGACGTCAGATATCTTGGCATTGTTCATTAAAATAGCTTCCAGCTCTGCGGGAGCAACCTAAAAATGTTAATGCAATTTCATGTGCATCCAAACGATATCTGAATCCTTACTTGGTGCCCTTTACACTTCATTATCTCCTTTAGTCTGTCCACTACATATATCGCATGGTTTTCATCGTAGTACGCAATGTCTCCGGTATGTAGCCATCCATCTGTGTCTATAGCATCCTTAGTTGCTTCTGGATTGTTTATATATCCCTTCATTATAACAGAACCACGACACCACAATTCTCCACGTTGCATGGGCCCCAACGATTTTCCTGTATCGACATCTACAATTCTTGCCGAGAGGCTTGGCAAAACGCAACCACATGAACCGATAGCGTTTGTATTCAATATTGGACTTATCGCTCCAGCGGTCGTTTCTGTCATTCCATACCCTTGCTGAACTCCATTTACTTTAAAGCTAGTACATCCCTTATTTACTAAGTCTTGAATTCCTTTAACTCACCGTTTAATTAATATCTGCTCAATATCCTTACTTAATGGTGCCGTCCCACAAAATATTTGCTTGATATTTGATAAGTCATACTTTTCTACCAAGTCACTTTTTGCCAAAAAATTCCCAATTGATGGTACGATGTTAAGGTCTTCAATTTTATAATCTTGTAAACACCTGAGATAAACTTCGGGGCTGAATTTGTTCATTATTACTACCAATCCCCCCCAAATTATTTTCCACGCGACCAAGTATAAGCCGTACGCATGGCATAGGGGCATGAAAGCCAAGCCTGGCGTGTTAAGTGGTTTTGATTGAAAAATATCACTGCAAACAAAGAATGATGGAAATAATCAAAGTCGGTGCCATGTCGACTAGACTTACCCAAAAATTGAAATAGACGCGTTGTAGTTATAATGCGTCAACATGACTCCCTTCGGTAATCCAGTCGTGCCCGAAGAGTATAAAACAAATGCAACATCTTCCTTGGCATTCACTGGACTAGGCTGGAATTTATTTACGTCGAAATTTTTAGGGACGTTTTCCTTAATAAAATTTTCTACTGATTGACAACCATTATGATCGTCTTTTTGATCCAATATTATTATTTTAGGTGTCACCTTCAGCTGACCTTTCACGTTCAGTACCACCGCACTTGACCCAAGCGAACAGAATATTATAGACGGCTGAGAAAGGTTGGCAACATGCAGTAATTCTCCTGAAAATAATGACGTTCTCATTCCACATTGAAAGATAATATCTTACAGCAATCTAAATTGACGGGGTAAATTGTACCTGTTTAATTTAAGCTATTCTAAGGTCACTTTCCTAAATTTTAAAAATCGGGGAAGGAAAACACTCCTCACTGACAGAAACTTGAATACCATGCTTAAGTTACGCACACTGCAATGTTACATCTGGCCAATTCTGCTCTACCACTATAAAAAAGGCTTTACCGAGAATATGCTGAAAATCCCGTGGACGGCCAAGATAACAAACGCACAGATCCTGCAGGACATGCACACGGACCGGGACCTGCTCAAAATCATCAACAGCAGGAAATTCAAATACCTAAGCCATATATCGCTGGGAGCCACTTGCCACACACTCTGGAGGACATTATCGAAGGCAAGAAACGTTCAGGAAGACCGAAAATGGCCTGGCTAAATAACGTTAACACCTGGTTTCACATGACAAAAACACAAATTTTACAGACTGTGCTAGACCGAGAAAAATAACGGAATTCGCAAACGCCATTAGGCAGCATTAAAGAAGAAGAATATGAATTTTGAAAAGGGCGTTAATTAGTTCAAAAGAAATTAGGTAGGGATTATTCCGGGGATTTTTCTTGAAGGCATTATGGCTCAAGCCGTACCCCGGATGCAATAAATTTCGTTCCGAGATCGCCGGATCGAGTTTTCCGAAAATAATCTAAGGCGTAACTGTTATCGATCGAGGACAAAGTTCAGTTGCTGCGAAGAAACAAAAGAGGGTGACATTATCGTTATATTTCGTAGTGGCAAAATTATTCTAAACGATTCGAATGAACATTAATAAAAAGGTAAGGGAACACTTTGGTTTAGTGACAAATTGTCTCCTTTTGTGTTAGAACAAAAAATTGAGAACCAATGAAAACAATATCTTTCGTGGTCATAGAAGATTATTCGTTTAAAAAAATTACGTCCAGAAAAAAAAGCGATTCACTGGAGATTTCAACGAAGTGGAGATTGCCGACGGAAAGTACAAATCTACAGCTCCATTGTTTAATTTTTCTGCGTCATTGTCGTTGTAAAGAGTTTCGTTCCGAGCTGTCAATAGACAGCATTATAATATACTGAAGAAAATTCTTTGTATGAGGTACAGTGATATTTATTTATTTATGTCAAATTGTGGGGTTGCTTATCTTTAAGAAAAATTGACGTAAATTATTTTGGATTAAATTAAAAAAATTATCACAGAAAATTTGGATTTGTATGTTCTTAAAGATAGCCATCTCATGGACAGAGTAAAAAGCTACAATCACGTTATCAAGCATATCGCAACGGCGGCGGTACATTATTTTTTCTTCGTTTCCCAAATATTAGGGTAGTTTAAGTTACACCTGTGGCGTAACTGAAAATATTATTTATTTTTTTCCAAAATTTGGAAAAAAAAGGTTTCCGTGCATTTATATAACGCAATTCGTGATACTCAAGAGTATATAGAATCAAAAACAAAGCCCATCAGTCCAGTTACTATTAGACCTAGTCAGTACCGTATAAGCATAAAGATCGAACCTGTAGTGTAGTAGGGGCTGAACGTGGTTAAAGGTACACCACAATACAAAGCGGCTAAAACGGGATTGCAATAGTATAAACTGTTTTCACTGCAAATCCCAATTATATCGTTCTTCCCCAAACCGTAGTTCCGCAAGGCTTCTGCTAAAAGGCAGGAGTTTTTGAGTAGAGCCTTGTTACTCACAGTTTCCCCAGACACCGAGTCTATCTGAAAGAAAGTACAGTATATTAGTTAGTATTAGTTAGTGTAGAAAGTACAAAGCAAAATTTACACATATGCCGCTTCATAGCGCACATGAACAAAAGCAGGTCTGGAATACGTATACATTTTCGGTAAAAGTGTGCATTTGCGTGATAAAAGGTGGTACCTGCTTGTAAGGGAGTTTCGGCAGAGGAGGTTACATTTTCTAGGGGTTGGCACGTACTATCTGTTTGTTTTCCGGGTCGCCAAACCTTTTACCAGGATGGTGCAAAAAGTCAAGTCAAGCGGTATTTTTCATGAAGAGAATGATAAGATACCACAAGCTTATTCACTTTGTTTACGGATTATTGGTTATGCTATAAAAGTATAAATAACAAAATTAAGTCACTTCGTACAACTGTACACTGATTTTTTGATAACTGGTAACACATTATTTGGCTACATGTTGCTGACTCTTAGTTGGCCTGGTGATAAGTCGACGTATGTTGTCAACATGTAGGTAACCGGCTCCAAACGATCAGTAAAGCGGATATGATTGTTGAATGTATTATATGACAATAGGGTGTACTTAATTTATCTGGCAAGTGGCATGCAACGATAGACACTCACAATAGGTAAATAAATATAGAATTTGCTAAATAGTAGGATACACGACATGCAATGCTGTTTTTATGTACTTACAAATATTGGAGCTTCAGTACTACCCAGTAAAGCATTATATAACGCAAGTCCCAGAGATTCATTCGAAATTGGCACTTTTAGTTGGTCCCCATGAATAATGTATTCCCCGTCCATCATCACTCTAATGTGTTCACAGAAAGGTGCTACCTACATTCATTGGTCATTCAATTATAAACAAAAGTATTTATACCCATGGTTATCTTTTATTATGTAAGTATTTGGAATTGATTACTTTTTTTACATAAAGATTATAAATATTGTTATTGTTACCATTATTTACTGTGCCCATTTTGCGGTTAAAAAGTATCATGTGCCAAAAACGTGCTATAACAGTAACGAGAATTTCCCTTTTGATGAAATGTAAATGAGAAAAGTAAAGTTACGGTTGCGCCAGCCATCGAGATGGTCATCGAATTGTCTGGAGGTGACTGTACGCGGCGTCCATAGACGTTTCCATTTGCTTTAATCCTTTTGTGTCACGGTTAGTGACTTTTTCTTTCTTTCTTTCTTTTTCTAAATTAGCTATTATACAAATGGTCACCGAAAAAAGCCTGATGCTAATTCTATATTCTCCTGGTTTAACGAATAGATCTGTAGGGAGTAACAAGGGTTCCGTGTACACAGAAAATGATCCAGTTTAGTAAAAATGCATAATTTAAAAATTGATAAGATAAATTTGTCTGACCGAATGTGTGTTTTAGCAATGTAAGGAAATTAGTTACCTACTTCATTTATTCATAACACAAGTTGCTTTTTTATCTAACCGTAAGGAAGCTAAAAGGGAATTAGCAAAGCGCGGTTAGAAATAGGGTAACGTAATTATTTATAGTACACTATGTGTGCATATTCAGTACCCTATTTGTGTATATTCGGGATGAGTTAATGACGCGGGTCATTGTAATTGAACTAAGAACAAGGAGAGCCGAATTAAAGATACGCCTACCGCAACCGAATGTTAAATGACCAAATGCTTTTAATAGCGCAAAGTAGAAATATATATCATTGCTTGTAGTAGAACGTTCATTGGGCCAGATTTTACTATAAGGCAATATATAAATATTAGTGTGGGCTAGGCGCACACTTGCGATTATCTGTCGCACGACTAGTCGCAAAAATAAAGGGGGTTGGATTCAGGGAGTCGCTCCTGTATGTGGACCTTTACCAACTCCACGTTGTCTCTTCAAAGTACGCGTTTGTCCCGGCTATTGCTACTACTGGAGATGGCCCATTCCATGTGCGTTTAAACCCTCAAGTCGCGGTGTCTCGTGACCTTTCCATTACTCTGTCGCCTTCTTGGGACTGAACCTTGGTGGGTCCGAAGTTGGCATATCTTAAGCGGTAGCGGTATTGGTTGCCATGTATCGCTGGTATTGGGATGAACAAGTGTTATGGATAATACTGCATCCCATGCCTTGGGGTCCTTCCCTTCTAAGTGGATACGCAGCACCTTCTGGATGGAGGTAAATCCGTGGCGTCCGAAAATTTCATTTTCCAGCCTGTTGACCACGATGTCGGTGGTGTCGTGTTGGCGAAACGTAGAGGAAAGGCTTCCACCCACATGCTGTATAGGTTTGTTGCGATGAAGATGAACCTGTTGCCAGTGTTCGCTGCGGTGTACGGTCCCATAAGGTCCCCGATTGATTTCCCATTGGAGACTTGGTTGACGTGGTCGCACGGTAGCGTCTTTTATCGGCTCTCGTTTGTTGGTCAGTGGTAGTATTTGATTCTGGCCCGTTTTATTTTGATTGGCGGTTAAGTATCCATCTCGTACTGTATAGTCTCGGTTGAATCTTATCTATACGGGCGTTTGTACCAGAATGATGGCGTCTCTGAGCCTTTCTTTGACTTGATCCGCAAGCTTGGCTATTTATTCGTTCGCCGCAATCACCAGGTTATTGGGGGTTTCACCCTTCGGATGTTCGATTGTTGGAGGCAGCATGCAATTGACGTTCTCTGACGTAGCTTCGTTCCCGGGTGTTGCTCTCGACCGCTGTCCCGTTTCCCTGATTTCGGCGCCTAGCCAGAGCTAGGCAGCCGCGGCGAACGTGGTATTATGAGCAGTGATGACACCCTGGGGTGTTGGGCGGTCGTTTGGGGTCCGCAGGTGATGATGGTACTGGTAGAGTGTTTCGGACCAGCGCAGCGCCTTGTTGCAGTTCTCGATTTTTTTGGTGAAATAATCGGGATCTTCAGGCTAACTGAGCCTTCCTTTGGAGAAACAGTTGTGGGGAGTCCATGTTCTGCTCTCGACCGAAGAATTCCGAATGGAGAGCTTACCCCGAATCTTGCTGCTGTCGTACTACTTCTCACGGATTTCAGGTCGGTGTAAGTCGGCGAGAATGCTTCATATCCTTTCCACCATTTCGCGGCATCTTCTCTAAGTTGCGCTGTGACCGTCTTCAGTGTTTCCGTTGGGTCGGTCGTTTGGATTTCGGTTTCGAGGGTGCTGAAGAACCCCATCGGGTCCTCTAATTGGTCGCCACTAAAGGTTGGTAGTTCCGGCATCGCGTTCGTTTGAGCTTTCTGGAGTGCGTCGGCCACTCCTTGGTGTCGGTGAGCGTCACTGGATTGGTTTGCCCCGATTGGTTGCTAGGGTAGCACATGTGGATGGCATCGACCCTGACCAATTGGGTTAGGTCAATGCCGGACTTGATGGCGTGCAGTGGCACAAGTGGTTTTTCTGGATGTTGATGCTGCTTATAAACAGTTCGCCGTCGAGAACTCTGACGTTTAGGCCAATAGGGCGCTTGCTGGCAGTGCGGCCGATGTTGAAATTCTTCCTCTGCCGTTCGTAACATCAGTGAGAATTCTATAAGCGGTCCGTGCAGAGATGCTTATGAGGTTTTAAGTTCAATGGCATCGTAGTACTGCCACCTTTTGTAGTTATTGCCATTTTCGTAGTTTGGATTTAGATGGGTCTCATTAGAAGCGAAATTTTGTGACGAATCTAAATATGCACGGAAAAGTACATGTTCATGATGAAATAAGGAAGATATTTACCGCCGAAGCGGCGTCTGCTCTGACGCGGCGGCACGCTATGCAACACGCGTTTAAATCTGATGACTTTTCCACTAGGTCTAGTATATAGCTGAGCTAGGACAATCTTTTCCTTCTTCTGCTGAGCACTTTTCTTCACAAAAGGCATCGTGTCTTTCAGAAAGAACACCAAAACCAGCGATATTTATAAAGGCCTGCACACGTCTTGTTGACACACTGATCGGATCGAGATCAAGATAGCGGCTGGGGATCTCTGGCGCCAACATCGAAAAATCAAATCCACTACACCGACTTCACGCAAAACGCCAAATTATTTAGTTTCCCGGCTTTTACATACGTCTCGCATACGTTTTGATTAAGAATAAATATATTCGTTTAGGATTTACCGCTTACACTGTGAATATTTAGTCGCGGTGTGTCGTGAACATTTAGTGTGCAAAGGTTTGAAACAGGGTCGAAAAGTACGGACACTAGTCAAGTTGACTACTATATATACCTTTTTAAAAATCATATAAGACGTTTGCATTGTGCTGAGGTCCAAAATACCACTCATACCGTATTTCTAATTATGTTTCCTTCATAACAACATTTTTTTGGGGACGTTTACCGTAAGTAATAGGTAGGCCGAGTACATCACTTGACTTCAGCCGAACGCGCTCTAACTACTTTAATATTAACTCTGCCGCTACAAGTAACGAACTGTTTTTAAATTGCGATCGTATAAAATAAAGGTATACTAGAAAAGCAAATTTACCCGTACGTTTGGTGACTTCATTTCGAAAACAAAACCCGGTCGTAGTTACATAGGCAGAGACGCTTAAATCGTATTTATTGTCTTTGTAACTCGAGATATTTCTTCGAGAATTTGACGCAAGTTTTAAAGCAGTCGAGTTAAATACAGGTTTCATCATCCACTACAAGAGGAGATTTTGTACGAGAGCAAGTCACAAAAGGGTGCAACTGTATCTCCCTAAAACCGACCCGGTTTTCAATTTTTCTTGGAGGGAGCCCTTTTAAAGGGAGGCTCGTCATTCGTCACCTAAAGAAAAACACCGATTCCAGCGATATCTGTATTGGTCGGTTGTCTTTAAGACTTTTCAGAGGATGTTTATTTAGCGGAATCGGAACATCCTTAAAGGCGTGCATTAATATTTTGTTTAAAATAATATTTCCCACGACTGTAGATATTTAGTTAACGATATTTAGATAAGGGAAAAATTAAAACTGATACATTGCCACGAGATAGGGGTTATATTTGTTGCATTTATACGAAACACGTCAATATTTCGAATCACAAAAGGTAAAGTAGAATAGAATTTGATCAACTTCAGTTTGTCAAGATATATTCAATTATTCATTGTGGAATTCGTATTCAGTCAAAACCAAAGCGTCAACTTTTTTGATTTTCAGATTAAAAAACGAGAAACAGGCCAGACTACCGCAAGATATGGGATAATTAAATTTTATTGCAGAGCTAGCCGTGAGTAAAATTAATTGATAGAATTTTTTTAGCATTCGTTTGATAAACGTATATAACACCTCTTTAATATACGCATATAAATATCGATGAGAAATAACAAATGCATAATATTCCTACAAAAATATAACAATATCCGCCGGACATTTATGCGTATTATATACGTAGGGTTTAAGTCTACAATGAACGCTTTTTATACAGAACTGTGTTGCTATAGTGAGAGTACACAAAAGGGTTGTTTGCTTTTCGTAAGGTACTTACCACTTTGTAAATCGATCATCTTTTTAATCTTGTTTATACTTACTGATAGTGTCTTGCGCAGTAAACACTGAAACGATAATTCCCGAATATAATCCAGCCAGCACTGGCTCGAAAAACCGTAGATTATTTCCACTGCAAACTGCAATTACATCATCTTTAGCTAATCCATAATTTCGTAAGCTTTGTCCCAGGTAACATGAGTTTCTGAAGGTTGTCTTGCTTAAAACAGTTTCACCAGAAAATGCGTCTATCTGAAAAGGATATTTACAATGTCTAACTCAAACATATTTATTAACGAGCTCCTAGCGATTTTATAATTTCACGCTGTTTGTCCGTCTGTCCGTCCGTTAGCACGATAACGAATCGACCGATTACGATAAAATTTAGTAGATGGATTCTTTATCAAATTTGTGGGTCGGAGTTCGTGAATTGGCAATGTATCCCAAAAAATAAGAAAGGTACTTTTGACATCTCCGTGAGTCATGAACCGAATTGCATAAAATTCAATATGCGTATAGCTTTAGCCATATGAAACACAATTCCAAAAATTGAGCCTAATCGATCAACATTCACAGTGCCCTTTTCGCATCTCGACCATTTATAAACCGAATTGAAAACTTTTTTATTTATGAAGGTATTTAAATGAAATTTGATACATAGCCACTTGGAATAAAACAAAATTTAAAGCCACTCTCAAAATTTCGTTCTGCGCATGCGCAGTGCCAACTTTCTTATTTATGGAGAGATTTAAATGAAATTTCATACATAAGCACTTAGAATAAAATCAAATGTAGCGCCATTTTCCAAATTTGGATTTGTGTAAGATGTGTAGTGCCAACTTTCCTATTTATGGAAGCAATTAAATGAAATTTCATACATATACGCTTTAATTACAAATTTTATAAAAGCAAAACTAACATCAGGTTTAAAATTTGGTTTTGCACATGCAGCTATAGCCATTTACCCAGGAGCTCGTTTTCTATATTTGTTTAGTTTATTTAATACTTACGAATAGAGGTGCCTCTCGTTCCTCCTTTAGTGCGTTGTACAATTTCATTCCAAGTGATTCGTTTGACATTGGAATTGTAAACAGCGGTCCACGGATAATAATTTCTTTTTTGTCCATTATACACTCAAGCTTCGCCTAAATGTGTCAGTCTTTCGTATCTTACGAGAAAAGTTACGTGTTTTAGCTTTATATATAAACAGAAACCGCAGATTAGATATGGAATAAAAAGTAAACTAGCCCTTTTGAGGTTCCTCATTCGAAACCTAAATAACCAAATTACTTAACATAAAGCCCATATTTGCAACGTTTTTCTTGTTTAGTACAAGTTTTATTCAATTTTATAGGAACATGAAAATTGAACTTTGGATAGAGCACTTTCTGTAAATTGTAGATCTGTCCATTTGAATGATTGCACCCCTTCAATTGACCTTGTTTGGTTTCGTTATGGTACGTTATACATAGATAATAAAAAATCAACTACAATACAAATAAGTAGATAAAACAATTGCAAATTGGAATACAAGCAAGATTAAAGGAACGTGTATGAAGGAGATTCATGTACTATACTTACTCTAAGATGCCGTGAAAACAATTATCTATTAAAAATCTAATGTAGTAATATTCTTTACTACAACTATTTAATTGATTGTAAACCGACACAGTTAGTAGGAAAATTATTTAGTAGGTACAGTCAAATTAGACGTACAAATGGTAAATGAAACTGAGGCGACTGCAAAAGTACCTTTCATTTGATATTTTATTTGGCCCTCTGACACCTATTAGTAGAGGGCACAGAATCGCCAAAGTCGTTTAGAAATGATTTTCGTTTACACTTCGGGGTTAAAAGCTGAAACCAATTTTAAATGATGCATGATCATTAGAAACATCGAAATCCAGAAGGCGTCAAAAATCGTCCTGTACGGGGTGGCTCTAGAGGGTAAATTGTAAAAAACACCCCAAATTTTTTTTTGCATATTTTGAATTTATTTAATATATACTTTGCACTGCCCATAGCTCAGGTATGTGAAACCGATACAACTATTTATTATTTAGTGTTTTTTACGACCGAAAAGCACGGGATTAAATGAGGAATCTTAACTTTCGCCGGCGTCTAACGAACTCGCCCGTAATATTTTGACAAATTAGCGCTTCAACCCGTCGTATCTAATTTATTTGCATCCTGATGAAAAAATATTCATTAATAACGTTGTAGAGCGTATTCTGGACATTCTGAACCACTATTTTTAATTCACTTCACATTACCGAAAAGTTTTGTATCGATTTATTTATAAACGCGCGCATATGACTGAGTAAGGACGATTATCGCTTGCGCATATGCATACACGCGGTTTATAAGGCAGAAAGTCGCGTATCTCCCTGCTTGTGTATATTAAAAACCTTCTGGATATTAAATATCCCAGTTAACTGTTTATTTTTTTAGATGCAAATTTTATACTATATAATTATTTAACATTAACGTAAATACTTAATCAGAATCTAGTTCCGATTCGGATGTTTCTTGAGAGTTTTTCGTGAAAGAATTTTTGCAAGTGGGCTTCCGTCCCATACATTTACAGGAGCCAAGGCACGGTAATTGCTTTTTTGACCACGAACAATGAAATCTGGAACATCCTAAAAAATAAAGATATGTAAAATAATACAAAGTCAAAATGTAATTAACAAAAACCTTTTCTGCAGTTACATTTAGCCAAAATAGATGTATCAGCTGCAGGCATTGATGGTTTCGTTGTAAGCACTGGAACAAAATTATTCCCAACAATTTTCCAACCATTTTCCAGAGGATCTGGTAGAGACGGTTTTGGGTTAAGACTGTTCAGCCAAATGTATATTTGATAATTCACGCGTAAAAAGTGCTGATAAAGATAACTGCAGTAGGTGGCAATTTGTGGATAGAATTTGAAGAAACCATGATACTGCGTAAACGATTTATTATTTATACAACTTATTATATCAGAAGTTGTGTATAATTTAATGACAAATTGAGTCATATTATTGAATGTATCTTCATTAAGTGTCGAAGATCCAACACCGTTTAGCAAATCATGATGCAACAAACCAATTTTCCAGCATGTTGTTTTGTCAAGTCCAACAAATTGACTTGTACAATCACAACCAGTAATTGCGTGAAATGCAGGCAAGTTTGTCAATAGACTTGGGGAAATGACGAGTTCGTGTACATGCTATAAACCGTACGTTGTCGTTCGTTCCAAGTTTTACCCACACTTCCTCGGTGGGACGGTTTTTGAAATGAGCAAGTAAGACAAGAACGTCGGTATCTCTGCAGTCAATAATACACCTTGAATATCCTTCTAATTTTGCTTGTAGAATGTGCAGTAGGATTCTGGTATCTCCTTCTTCGTGTGAAGAGGCAAGTAATGAAGTAAATCACTACAAAGAGGAAAATTTGATCTATATTCAGTAACGTCTTTGAATCCTCCACTGGTTACAAATGTTAAACTAGAATCTTTCGAAAACTCATATAACTGACGACATAAAAAATTTGTTAATTGTTGCTTGTTAAACGAGGAATGAATAAATAAATACCACAACTGTAGATACATGGTCAATTGTACGTTTTATATTTTCCTTTTGCGAGGTTCTCTTTGTACGGGTGCAAATGTGCAATCTTTGATCGATTTTTCATGGTAGTGGTCCATGACCATCAATGCCTGCTGATACATCTAGTTTGGCTAAATGTAACTGCAGAAAAGGTTTTTGTTAATTAGGTACATTTTGTCTTTGTATTATTTTACATATCTTGATTTTTTAGGATGTTCCAGATTTCATTGTTCGTGGTCAAAAAAGCAATTACCGTGCATTGGCTCCTGTAAATGTATGGGACGGAAGCCTACTTGCAAAAATTCTTTCACGAAAAACTCTCAAGAAACATCCGAATCGGAACTAGATTCTGATTAAGTATTTACGTTAATGTTAAATAATTATATAGTATAAAATTTGCATCTAAAAAAATAAACAGTTAACTGGGGAAGGTTTTTAATATACACAAGCAGGGAGATACGCGACTTTCTGCCTTATAAACCGCGTGTATGCATATGCGCAAGCGATAATCGTCCTTACTCAGTCATATGCGCGCGCTTATAAATAAATCGATACAAAACTTTTCGGTAATGTGAAGTGAATTACAAATAGTGGTTCAGAATCTCAAGAAAACGCTCTACAACGTTATTAATGGATATTTTTTTATCAGGATGCAAATAAATTAGATACGACGAGTTGAAGCGCTAATTTGTCCAAACATTACGGTCGAGTTCGTTAGACGCCGGCGAAAGTTAAGATTCCTCATTTAATCCCGTGCTTTTCGGTCGTAAAAAGCACTAAATAATAAATAGTTGTATCGGTGTCACATATCTGAACTATGGGCAGTGCAAAGTATATATTAAATAAATTCAAAATATGCAAAAAAAATTTGGGGTGTTTTTTACAATTTACCCTCTAGAGCCACCCCGTACAGGACGATTTTTGACGCCTTCTGGATTTCGATATTTCTAATGATCATGCATCATTTAAAATTGGTTTCAGCTTTTAACCCCGAAGTGTAAACGAAAATCACAATTTATGGCATTGGGAACTCTACTATATAGTTTAGGAGATGGATACATCAATTTAAAGTTTCGTGTTTTAATCAATATTTGAAAATAATGCCATCTGTAAGATGATGCAAAACCTACAGAATATACGACCATTGTCTCTGTATCGTTTATGAGGTGTTTAGAGCCACACTTTTTGTATGGATACGAGCTAACTCCAAAAAAAATAAGTGACAAGAAAGAACGGCACTTATCACAGCATATAACAAAGAGGTACCTACATAATATGTAATAGGTACATTTACTCAGTTGGGGGATACTCTGAAGTATCATATACAGTTGAGATCTTATATCAGCCAATAAGAACATTCGTTATCGCATTGCGTAAGGTGAAATATAATTAGATTCAAGATAAGTACTGGTTATCGCTGATAAGCGAACAACAGGTGTGCAGTTTATTTCGAGGCTGGCTTATTCAAATTTATTTCTGATTGGCTCTGTGTTTACGAAATCTAAAAGGAGATTATTTTATGGTGAAAGTGGTGGAAACGGGTTTATTTGGTGACGGCAAGAAATTATTTCGAACTAAATGTATTAATATAGTTAAAAAAATTAAAACAAGACCAAAATTTTAATTCCTTAACACCAACAAAATATACCCGTAGATAATTAATTTTATTTTATTCGATCTTGTAACACGTAACTCTAACCACTCAAAGGCGAAAAGAACAATGCAACAAAGGCTTTGAAATCCTTAGTTTTATAGAATTATCTGCTCAAAAGTAGACTGATGAACATTGAACAACATTATTTAGTAATAAGTAAGTATTCTATTTATCCTTAGAAAGGCTATAGACAGTGAATGTAGTTGTGATGATGAAATGTACACAGCTATCTCTGATTCTAGAACTTTTCTTGTCATTATTTACAACTTGGAGTTGTGTTTGTGTAGAGTGTCTCGTAAAATCCGACGAATAATTTTGCCAGCAGGATTTCTAGGAATGTTGGGCACAAAAAGGACACTTTCTAAACGTTTATAAGCTGCCACTTGCCCTGCAACATGAAGGTTAGTTTGATAATGAAGATATCTTAAAACATACACACGCACCATGAATAAAATCTTTCAATTCTTTTTCTGTCAGATCTTGTCCTTGCATTGCTACTACAAAAGCTATTGGCACCTCTCCGTGTCTGTCGTGAGGAATGCCAATCACGCCGACATCGGCAACTTTTGGATGATTAACTAATATGGCCTCTAATTCAGCTGGTGCAACCTAAACAGAATATTATAATTCCTTTGGCGACCTCTGAAAATGCAACCTGATATCCTTTGCACTTGATCAACTCTTTTAGTCTGTCTACTATGAAAAACATGTGGTTGTTGTCGTAATAAGCCATATCTCCCGTATGAAGCCATCCGTCCTCGTCAATGGTATTTCGTGTAGCTTCTGGATCATTAAAATACCCTTTCATAATTATGTCTCCACGACACCATATTTCCCCAACCGCCATTGGACCCAGGGATTTTCCTGTATCTACGTCTACTATCTTTATTGCCATATTTGGGAAAGGAATACCGCAAGAACCGGGTACAACTTGGTCGTCCAAACTAACCAAAATACCAATAGTTGCTTCCGTCATACCATATCCTTGTCGAATATCGTCCACCTTTAGTCTATAGAAAAAAAACCACTTTAATCTATTATGACCAAAGTATCACGTACTGCAGGAGTGGAGACAAGTGAAGTATGGGGAAGGGAGGTGTTAATTTTATAGACCGTAATCTGTGCTTCTAGCAGCAGTGCAGATATGAAACCTCAATCCATTGAATTTTACCTCCTGGACCGCCTGGACCAGAACTCGAAGAAATTTATATCCTATAGTCGTTACGGCATCATTATGTTTTTCATGCAAAATCATAAATAAATACCTTCTCTTCGAAAATTCTAGTAAAAATTCCGCCGCTCTCCCACCAGATTTTCACTTTTCTCCTGACCGCAACTTTTGTGGAAGGAATTTTCATCACGTGCTCGGCTTTTTGCAAAACAGAACGCAACTTTTGGGGTCTGTGACATCATGCCAACACTGTGACGTTTTGACTCTTGGTACAAATGAAGATTACGGGCAAAATGAGGCAAACGCCAATCTAGCTCTTATAAGTACCTGGTGCAATAAGAACTGTTTAGTAATGAATGTAGGAAAAACAAAATCGCTCGTTTTTGGATTAAAACAATATAATACGTCCCACGCATCTGACGCATCACATTCTGTGTCGTTTCTTGGTGTCCATTTGGACCCAAAGTTATCATTCCATGACCACGTGGGAAAACTTACCATCAAATTCAGCAAACATTTGTTCGTTATGCGACGATTAGCAAAAACTGTCTCAACTCAAGTTTTAAGTAATGCATATTACGCACTTTGTCAAAGTGTGCTATCATATGCTCTACTTACCTGGGGTCATTCTTCCCAGTTAAAATACGCGTTTAAGCTACAACGTCGAGCTGTTAGAATTTTAGACAAAATTGGATATCGTGATGATTGTCGTACAAGTTTTATAAAATTAAAGATACTCACGTTGCCATGTCTATTTGTGTTAACATGTGTTTGTCATGTCACAGTTACATTGGATACATATTCTCTTCACTCGGATATACATAAATACAATACAAGAAACAAGGACTCAGGATGGACCCACCAACATCGCACTTAAAATATTCAACCATCTACCCAGCTGTTTAACCGCCTTAGAATTAAAACTATTTAAGTTAAAGATTAAAGCTTTCTTATTAAGTAAAGCGTTCTATTCTGTTGAAGAGTTTCTGCTTTACGATATGAAAACTTTTCCATGTAATTATTAAGCACGCATAATATTTTAGATTTTTCCATTGTTTTGACGAATGTAAGTTTCTTTTGTTAACTATGCATGAAATAAATATTATTATTATTATTATCTACTTGACAACTTGTTTCTTATCTTAACGTGCTTTATTTTCCCGAATATAAGTTCTGTTCCTTTTACTTATGAAGCGGTACAATTTGTAAATTTAACAAAAATTCTTTAAATCCTACAGCGACCACCTGTTAAAACCCCCCACTATAGTGCCTCCCGCTGAATTGAGATGCGCTCCAGGAGCAGCAAAAAGCATGTAAACTCGGCAATCAACATTTTTCTCCTACTTTTGATACTCCGTAAACAGAATCCGCATAATAATCACTTCAGTGGCACTCCTCGTCGCCAAATATGATGTGTTTTAGTATATAAAATAAACCATTTCTTTAAACAAGAAACTTGAACTTTTATTTTTTTCCATAACAAACAAACTCGCCCTAAATCCTGAACGGTTGGAAAATGCAGATGAAGCAGTGAGATTGTAACGGTCGTGGGTAAAGCGCTTATTAAAAGTCTTACCGCTTAATCAGTGCTTCTTCCGCGCTTTTGCCTAGTGGTGCTGCACCGCACCTGATCCTTTTCACACTAGATAAGTCGTATTTATCTACCAACGGACTCTTAATCAAAAAATTTGCCATCGATGGTACAATTGAAAGTTGATCGATTTTATAATCCTGTATGGTTTTGAGGTACACATCTGGGTCGAATTTCTTCATTATAATCGCTTTTCCTCCATCAAAAATTCCTCGAAATGCCAAAAACAATCCATAGGCATGGTGTAACGGTAGATTTATCAAGGTTACAGCAGCTCGTGGGTTGGTGATGGCTGCGAATCTATACAAGGATATTACGATTAATTTAAAAGAATGTATTCAAACGTAGCAAAACCTACCCAATCACACCAATAACCGTGGTATAATTGAAATGCGTCAACATGACACCTTTTGGCAAACCTGTCGTTCCTGATGACTGTAGGATAAATGCAACATCTTCTTTTACGTTCACTGGACATGGTGAAAATGTGCTGACATCGAAATTTGCTGGTATATATTCCGATATAAAACTTTTCATCGATTGACAGCCTCTGTAATCTTCTTTTGCATTAATTACTACCAGTTTAGGGACTCGTTTTAATCGATCTTTTACTTTCAGTATCACGGAACTTGCTTCGGTTGAACAGAATATTATTGATGGTTGGGAAATGTTGGCAACGTGAATCAATTCTCCTGAAAGCATTGTAGTGCAGAACTGCTGGGTTGCATAAAAATAACCAATACCAAACGCATGGTAGGTACGTTTATCACACTTACTTTCTGTGTATAGCGGACTAAACATTGAAACGATAATGCCCGAATACAAACCAGCAACGACAGGATCAAATAAGCGTACATGATTCTCACTGCAAACTGCAATTACGTCATTCTTAGTTAGTCCAAAGTTTCTTAAGCATTGTCCCAAATAACACGAGTCTCTCAGTAAAGTCTTGTTCGACAGGGTCTCGCCAGAAAATGCGTCTACCTGAAAACAAGATTTGCAATAATTATTTAAATGTAAATGGTAAGAGACTACTAGAGCTACTAGAAATGAACGCACATTTGACGTAGGTACCTACATCTCATTACGTACTAGGGATGTTAAATTGTTATGTCCAAATTGGAGCCACGACCTTGTGACGTAACCATGGAAATCCCAAGACTACGACTTTGGTTGGAACGTAACCAGGGGAATACTAAAGCTGCGACCACAGAATCCAGGGCCACGTCCTTTTGGGACAGAGTTCAAAACACAAGGTTATCGGGGAAATCTCAAGGTCATGGCCTTGTGACGGAGTCGGAGAACCCCCCAGGTAATGACCTTGTGAAGGCACCGAGGAAATCCCAAGGTCACGACCTTGTGACATCACCAAATCGAAGATGGCTGCATGGTGTCCCTCTTCTCCTAGTGAAATCGACTATCGTCATCGCACATTATAAACGAATGTTTTACGCTATTTTGTAGTCGAGTAGACGCAATGGAACACCAGTTTTACTTTTATCTTCATCTTAACAAAACTACAAAAAACACAAAATGACAAAGTGAGCTAGTTGCATAGATGACGTTGTTTCCAAACAATTCAACTTTTTCACGAAAAACAAAAATGGAAGTGTCATCAAAAGACGAAATTAGTTAAAAACTGGAAGAAGCAGAGCTTAGTTTGGTTCCCAGAAGATCTGAATCCTATTTCAACAAAAAATTTGAAAAATTGACTTCGTGGTTAAGACAAGTAAAGAGGTTTTCGCCTGATAGCAGTTTCCATGAATAGATCAGTACTTCCCAAAAGGCTATAGCTCACTTAATTTTAACTATGTGCGATGTGTTTGCCTTTGCTAATGAGTAATGACATTTGTAGTTTTCGCTTTGTACTACATGTGATACGTTTTTCTTTACTAGAAGCATCTATGGTTAAAATTTCAAAGAAATATCTTCATAAACAAGGCACTGACTACGCATGAGCACATCTAATGTTTGCAATATCAGATATGTTTGCCTGTAAGTAGCATCTGTGATTAAAATTTTTAATTGGTTCCTCGATAAATAAGACAGTTGATATTACGCATCCTGCGCATGCGCACATTAATCGGATGTTTACAATATGCGATACGTTTACTTTTACTAAAAGCATCTTTAGTTAAAATTTCAAATAAATATCTCCATAATTAAGAAAGTTGGCATTGCGGAGTCTGCGCATGCGCACATCTGACTTTTACTATATGCGTTATGTTTACCTTTACTAGAACTATCTGGGGTTAAAATTCCAACGAAATATATTAATAACTAAGAAAGTTGCTACTAAATGCAAAAAGAACGAACTAAATATCTTGAAAACTGTAGGAGTGGTTAAGGCTTCGGGCAGACGGACGGACAGACAAAGTGGTTGCAATAGCGCACCCAACTTCTTTGAAAAATGCGCTAAAAGAAAGTGTGGAAACTGTGACAGAACAAGTTCTACTTGCCTACTTTGTGGGCCAGGTATTGCGAAACCTTTTAATTTTGCTCAATTTAGTCGAAGGTGCGTATGTACAAAGCCTCATCTTTATTATGCACTTTTTCAAAGCTGACACGTATGCTGCAAATAACATGGATATTACAGGCAGGTTTCCCAAATTGATAGCCTTCATAAAAAGGAGTAATTAACGGGGTTTTTGACATAGGGACAAAGGAAAAATATTTTCTTTTGAAGGTTTTCAATATGTCAAAGCTGCTGTAATTAAACTAATATGTTGGTAGGTGGTAGCCATTTTTGGTCTGGTTAGGGCTTGCAGAAGTGTATAATTTTAAAACTTATGCACAAACGATGTTAAAAAGGAAGATCTCGTTTTGATAGTTCATATGTTAATGGTACCAAAACACATCGGCCAAGAACGTTTACTATTGTGAAAGAATCTCTAGGAATCGATTATACTGAATTGATCAAAAAGTATAAACATTTGCGGGCAACCCATGGCAAAATTCAAACTTTTTGTTTTATAATAACCGTAAATACACCTGCAACCCCGTAGGAATCAACCCATTTAGACAGATTCCTAGGAATATTGCAAAGTATTTGGAGTTACCGAATGCTGAACTGTATACGGAGCTACGGGGCATCCATTACGAAGAACCTCTTCAATAATTCTGGCAGAAAGTGGTACCGATATTAGGATGCTTAAGAGACGGCGATTGGCAAAGAGATGCAGTAGCAGAGGGATATGTGGCAGATTCACTAGAAAATAAAAACAAAATTGCCATAGAGCCTGCAGTACCTATTTCTGTACTTCTCGACTGTCAAGACCTCAAGTTCTGGACAATTACTCGCAATTCAAATTATATATTTTTTTCACTACTAGCGTCTGATGACATGATTATTAACCTTTTTTCCACTTGTAAAGTAAAAGTAGGCTTTCACGGCATTTGTTCAAAGTGGTTAATAATGTGGACATTATTAACTAGTAGTCAATAATGAGAACTGTCACGCTGTCACTTTTAGAAAACACAACCCGAAATTTCGCTCAATAAACGTTTAGACAAGTTCTCTAAAATGAATAATTGCGACCATCGCCATTTCCAGAGAAATTACATACCTAAAATTATCACATTTTGAAAAAATTTGAAAGAAATTACTCTTTGAAAATATGTCAATGACAGAACAAAATACGGCCTGTTTGATTTGTACCTACTTCCACGTACTTGATTGACATGTTAAATTAATAAACAAAAAGTTCTGTCCAACCCGTTCACTTTCTTATCAATATAATATGTTAATTTAGAGGGCTTCAAGTGCTAGTAGTGAAAAAAATAGTATATATACCACGGTAGAGAAGTCTATTATTGCCTTCGCACCTTACACCCCTCGGCGCAAGCGCCTCGAGATAATCTTGGTGCTCAGGCAATAATACTGTACTTCTCTACCTTATATAATGTACTATTATATTAATACTATAGTAGGTAAAAATTTCCTTTGCTTATGTTCTAATTATGTTCATGGCTGTTAAATCGTGCTGTAATGAAAATCGTGCCATAATATGACAGATTAGGTATACACAGTTTTTAGTGTGTCAAGGAGACAATATTATAAGACTAGGTACTCGACTACAAAGTTGGTGCACATCATTTTTTTTTTAATAATAATAATTTATTTGCATGTTATTGTGGCAAGGCACTTACATTTGTCTAAGGGCAGATGGAATACATTATAATAAAATATATATAAATAACAAACACGATAAATATAAAGCATAACATAATTAAAACATTCACTACATACTAACACAACAAGAATTATAAACAAATATTACAAATATAGATAAAATAATTACATAAAAAGTACAGGTATAAAGATAAAAACAAGATATATAGGTAGGTATTTACTTTAGACTAGATAGATATTTATCACAAAAAACTCATTAATGGAGTAGTAAGCTTTACTAACTAAAAATTCTTTTAATTTATTTTTTAATTTTAATCTAGGTAGCAATTTCATTTCAGGCGGAAGACAATTGAATAAACTCTGAGCAGTGTACACAGGACCGTTTTGAGTTTTAGACAACCTATAGTAATTAATTCTAATATTACTTCGCAACCTTGTAAAATGTTCGTGTATATTACTTTGCAAGTTAAATAGATGTACCTAAGTTGTCCTTTGCATACAAGATGCTTTCCAAAACGAATACAGAAGGTAACGTTAGAATTTTTAAGTCAACAAAAGACGCCTTACAATCATCACTATACCTTAGCCCATTGATTCTTAAGGCTCTCCTCTGTAGTCTAAATACTCTACTTTATGTCAAAGCCCAGTCAGTTTTAGTACCTAAACAATTCTTCTGACTGACTATTCCGAACGTGAATATTTTTTTCGGGAAGTTTCGGAATAGTGAACGTGTATATTCCGACGGGAATTAGTTTTTCACTGTTATCCCTATACGTACAGGCACAATGTATATACTGTGTCCAAGATTAGGATATCAGCTATCATGGGGATCTCGGAAACTATAGAAGATGGTCAAATAAGGGAAAGTTGAAAAATAAAAAAGGTATTAATTATCGTGATGTAAAGAATAGCGGAAAATTCCGATTATTTACGAACATATGCCAGAAAAACCAAAATTTGCCGATTTTGTTTTTATTTTTTTCTGATGATACAAAAAAAATGAAAAAAAAGCAGGTAGGTACTGTAGGGGAGACCGGGGCAGCGAGGACCGCTTAAACTAATTTTTCTTTATAAAATCTTTATTTATTCTAATAACAGCGTACAAAAATTCTGCATATATAGTTCATTTTGGCATTACACGAAAACTATATCTTAACATGTCTACTAAATAAAAAAATAATTGTCACAAATGACACTTATTCCTCCTTGCCCCATGCACCGGGGCAAGGAGGCCCACCATAAAGAACTTTGTAAAAATTATTGCCTGAATCGCAGCGTTGGCGTCTTTTTGGGTCTATTCAAGTCTATTACGCTTTCTTTTATAATTTCGCATCTGGAAAGAAAAATCAGGCCGCCTAAAAACGCAGGGTAGCGAGCACCACTCACGGGGCAAGGAGGACCGCGGTCCTGTCTGCCCCGATGTAAGCGGTCCTCATTGCCCCAAATGTAACTGAATCAGAACATCATCGAATTACCTATGTTTACGTGCAAGTAATAGCGAACGTATAGGCTATGTTCGTAGCTAATTTAATCGGTAACACTACCTACCTTGTACTCGATTTTCTTTGATATTCTGAAGTTAACTAATAATGAACAACAATTTTTTTTAAATTGCATTAACTTACCGTAAAAATCTGATTTTGCCGCAACACTTCACAATAATCCACTACTGCCAACCTTACAGCACCATATTTTGAAGGAAATTCAAAACAGTTCTAATTTACGCTGGTGGTCCTGGTTCCCCCGGTGGACCTCGCTTCCCCGGTATCCCCTATTGGGTAGCATTTTCTTATTAGTAATACAACGATGTATGAGACCGAAAGAAATAATAGTTGTTCAACAGAGTGGTGCACTCACACACAACGCGGGTGTTCGTGCTTGTCGGAAGATAGTTATAATAATAATTTAGATTGTAATAATAACGTTTATTGTGTACAGAAAATATACACAAAAAGAGGAAATTCGGCAAAAACCGTTCTTCCATTTCCCCCATTCCTAAATTGCGTAGGTATGTAATGATTCTACAATAAGTAGTAGATATAGGTACATCTAATCATACAAAAGGTGAAACGTAGTTAATTGAAAAGGAAAGCAACATGTAAAAACAAAATTTGAACAACAAAAATTAATCTTAATAATAATAGTAACTACATTTCCTTCCAAGTGAGATTTTTAACGAATTTTTTGAAAGTTGATGGTGACATTTCAATTTTCCTTATAAATTTAAGAGGTAACATGCTAAATACTTAAACCACCCTTCATATTTTACGGTTGCATGTTGTGGAAGTGTAAAACTATTTATTGAATTCTTATATTAATATTGTGCATTTCTGAATATAGTGATAAGATAGGTACCATAAATAAACGCCTTAATCAATATGCTATCATACGACTTAATCTATAGTAGGTTATCAAAGATATACAAGGGCAAATTATATGAAAACCTGTAGTTTGAATTTTGTGATAGTTTTGGAACCTTTCGACTTACGAATATAGGCACTTCATCTTTATCATTCAGTGCTTTATGCAGTTTTATTCCCAAAGACTCGTTTGTAGCGGGAATAGTAATTTGCGGCCCATAGATAATAATTTCATCACCTTTTTCCATTATATGCTTGAAACACAACTGAGCCTTAGCTCGTGGTGTGCTACACATTTAAAATATGTGACAACGCGAGATAACCAATAATAGATTAGATATATAAAGGTCGGGAATGTTTACTAATATCCGAGCTAATTCTAATATGAAATCATGTACCTAATGAAATTATCGACAGTCCATAATACTTTTTTAATTGAAAGTGAATTGGAATTGTATGTTGTTTCAAAAAAAGTTTTCCCCAGGTCAGTATTTTGCCCATAGTCGAGGGTGTTTAGGTCCTAAATTTCGAACTTTTGAAAATAAGCTATATGAAAATTGGCACATTTATGCTTTTGGCCCTTCCTTTCCATGAATGACGCCACGCTAGTTTCCCCTGGAACCCCCAGTGTCAAATTCGTAGCAGAGCTCTTAAAAATAAAGGTGGAGAGAACCTTCCATTAAAATATGGTACGAGACGGAAATGGATAAAAAGGAAGTTATAAGAGTGGGGGGACAGGGAAACGCGTCATCATTGGCAGTGGCGTAATAAAACACAACTGGCATCGTCACTTCTGTTTTGTGATAAGTCAAGTCGACATAACTGATTTCCGTCGCCTGCTATGCTATTTCCCGCACCGTTATATTCTCTCCTCTTATTTTTTACGTGAAGTAGGTACATGAATTACATGCAGGACCGGATTAATGTCCCGAGAGGCTCTAAACAATGAGAATTTTTGGGGCTCCCGTTATTTCTTTACGTTGGTGCATTGTCCAAATATAATTAATACATGCGGACGGTTTCGAATTTAATTTTCCAAATTTGTTTTCAGTATTATGTTTATCATTACTCAAGGAAAAATTGATTAAATTTTCAGTGACCCAGGAGTTTGTTTGCTGTATTTGTTACAAGTTTATTGCAACATACCTATACCTATTCATGATATATATTTTTTTAATCTCATAGTAATAAGCTTGCGTAAAAAATATAGCAAACGAGCTTCTGGGTCACTGAAAATTTAGTCAGTTCTTCCTTGGATGATGCGATAAACATAATACCGAAACCATTCGCGAGTTATCATTGTTCACAAGTGGACGGAGTTACCTATCATGTACACAGACGGAAGGACTGACGGACGAACAGACGGATGAACAGGAAGTCCAAAATCATGAACTCACTTTTGGGAGCTCGTTAATAACCTATGTTTGATATTCTCAAATAGCGCATTCGTGATGACATTATATTGTGTGTACCGAATGTTACTTGAGCAATGCTAGACTGACGGATGTTCGGTGGTGTCGGTCCTTCGCCCGAGACCATTATACCTTTTATTGTTCTACCTGCAACGTAATGTCTGCTTTGTAAGGCAACCTGCATGATAGGGAATGCAATACCGGGATCACGGGATCTCGCAGCATTTTTGCGGGATTAATCCCGCACATAAATGGAGCGGGATCCCGCGGGATTAGCGAGACTGAGGAGTTTGTCGACCAAGGGGACGACTCTGTTTACTTTGTTAATGAAACGCATAACGGAGAAGTTATTTTTTAAATAATTGTTAAACTTTTTTCGTAAAAAATGTACTGATTTTTGAGGCACTTTGGAAGTTCACCTTTTTGTGCTTTACACGTCAGGTTTTTTGGAGTTCTAAGTTATTTTTATTCAATGGCTGAAGGTACTTTTTTTGTTAAATATTGTGATAATTAGGCATAATAATGCACAGAATGCAAAACGACAAAGTTCATACGTTTTTCCCAAAAACATAAATTAGCGCGCTTCCAATGACACTAAATGCACTCTACTTACTTAATTGGGCCGGGTTGAAATTCCAAAATTTCCATAGGAAAAAATCAACTTGATGGACGAAACGTCAGACATAAAATTGAAAACTATTATATAGTATCTTGCACAGGGAAAAAAATGGCCAACATAATGCGTCATTTATTTTGAAATATCTGGTAAAAAATAAAACGATTTTGCAAAATTTCGTTTTTTTTTCTGGACTATAGGCGCAAAATGATAGTGCGACTAGTGAGGGATTATCAAATTTTAGCGTGCTAGTGCTGGAGTGCCACGAGAGTGGTCCTTGGGCCAGGGCCACACGTGTGAATTGCTATGTATAACCAGAGACTTGCTTGCTATGGTTACTCTTTGCTATAACTAGACTGCGCTTAACGTATCTAAGGTGTTGTCGACACAGTATGCAACACACAATGCACGGCGGGGCAAAAATCGCAGAGATGATGTGCAATACAATGAAATAAGCTATTATTTTAGATGTCCCGTTCATTAATCATTCTCGTGATTAGCTCGAATTAGTAAACAGATAAATTTCTGTTGAGAATAAACCAATAAACTTAGGTTAACTCGTGCGTATCAACATGTACTTTGTAGATAAAATTTTAAATAATATGCAGATTTCCAAACGATAAAAGTTTAAAGGGTCAATGGATCAGAGCCATTCGAAAAGAAAAATTTACTCCCACCATAGTGCATTTGCGGGGAATGAAGCCGATTTTAGAAAGGTACCGACGAAGGTGTTAAACAATAATGCAATACCGAGCGTTTTCGGCTTTCCCATTCACTTAAAATAACGTAGAACTGTTATTCCACATCCTTTACCAGCAAGGTAACGGCAGTACCTATTTGCCTATTAGGTATAGACGTAACTATGTACTTACTGGTACCTTTGAATATAAAATTAGGTATATTCAAAGCTGGTACTAAGTATATTTCAGGTTTTGTTACAAGAAAAATAGCCAAAAGTCTGTTAAATGTTCCATATGTGCAGATGCGATATTCGCATCAGTCATTCACAGCTTTTAACTAGAAAGAAACGTGGAGGATTGTTGCACGTATCAAGCGATGCATTAAACATTTGCCAAATCTCTGAAAATGTGTTCAGGTTTTTCATTCAATCCATACCACATCATCGTTGTAAACAAAATGGTTATTAGCAGTTTAAGAAAAATAACAGGTTCAGCCCATTTGGGTCTTTGGATAGGCATATATTGAATCAAAATCCACTAAATAATCATATCTTACTACTTACATCTTTAGTTTTAAGAGTATATTTTCCCATACGTGTTCACCACCAAAATACACATATAAATCAAATTAGGACTAGAGTAAAGCAGTTATACGAGTATACCAATTTAGTTCAAATAAAATACCAATAAATTCGATTATAACAGTTATATTATGTTACCTTTTTTTGCTACTAAAATCTAGAATAAATATGCTAAAACAAGCTGCGAGAACGCACTTCCGCCCCGCGATGAACAGTTGGTTGCCTATCCTATCTTGACAACAGGCGTTTATAGTAAAATCTACGTTACGCGCGATCTTGTTATAGCAAGTCTCTGTGTATAACAGTGTATTGAGGATGGAGTTAGACTTCGTAGATGCCTCATGGTTACATCAAAAGTTATTATACTTTTTCGTTTTTTTTTTGAAAAATGTTTTTTGTCCATAACTTCTGATGTGATCGTCCAATCTTGCACATTCTGATCGGTTTGGATTCTACAAAAAAAGGTCAGCTCCCAGTTGATTTTGGACATGTATTTATAGGTAAGGCTGTCAAACATAAAGCTGTAAAAATGAACGTAAAAAAAATAGTCAAAATAAAACGTTAAAACTCTGAGATTTATTTATAAAACTTATCCTAAACATATTTTGTACTAATGCGCTTTATTTACTGTTCTTGACACAGCTGAGACTCCATCCACAAACTTTGTTCTGAACAGCACATTGGCGTTATTGAACATTCCATCCTTAAGAGATACAATGATAAACTAAAACAGAAACTAATAAAAACCAAAAAAATAAAATGTGCACAGTACCTGAGATTGTTTGAAATGCGATTTAAGCATATTTCCTATGTTTTGGGTATGGGATAGATCTAGTGCAGCATCAACCTCGTCCAAAATGTATAATGGCGCAGGTTTAAATAGCAGCATAGCTAAAATTAGCGATAAAGCAACCAATGACCTTTGACCGCCGCTCAACTCGCTTAAACTTTCTTTCCAAACACCACCCAAAAATATCTTTACCTACAAAATTCCATTTTTACTCAACTCTGTATGTTATATGTCAAGTTTACTTCTAGGCCTTGTAGAACGTTTTGACCATGCGGAGGAATTAATTTGGCATTCGAATTAGGTAGTAGAGTGCCAAAGATCGAACCGAAATCTTTACTAACTTGCTCCCACGCTAATAGCAGAGTTTCTTGCTTTTTCTTATCCAAATCCGCCATGACGGCTATAAGTTTGTTTTTATCACTTTCGACGATTCCTTTCTTTTTTAATAGTTGAGCATACTACGATTAGGGCGGTTAAAAGCCACACAATGGTCAATTAACTCTATTACTCACCTGTTTTTCTTCATGTTCAAATAAACTCTGTGCTTTTGCATTAACTGTCCTGCTTAATTTTACTCGTTTATCTTGTGCGGCCCTAATTCGTTTCTCCAAGTCGCCAGCGTTCTTATCGGTCAACTCTTCGGCGTCCTTTTGATTTTTATCATCCTTCTTTGTTTTCTTTTTATACTCTGCTTCCTACCAAAAAATGAAAAAATGAAAAAGTTTTGATAGCAAGGAATACTTACTCGGTTTTTGGAATTTTTAAAATTCTCTTCCAGTTTCTTAATTTCGTGCGCCTGCTCCTTAATCTGCAATTCAAACTCCCCGATTTGAGTCCTCAATTCCTCAATCATTTTCACTTGTTTCGCGATGTCTCTGTTTTGTTCCGATATCGCGCCCTTTTCCGCTTTTACTTGCTGCTGCAATCTCGCTACGGTCTCCTAAAAATATCACGATACATCCACAATTCTAAGCGTCATATGACTATAGATACCTTTTTTTCTTCAGCGTCCCGTTGTAATTCGACATACTTCTCATTGAGACTAACTAACTGTTCGTCACATTTACTAATTTGTTCACCGTAAGATGCTAAACCAGTTTTCAATTCGCTGATTTCCAAATTAAGCGATTCGTATTCCTGTTCGTGCTGTTTCCAATTTTTGCTGCTGGCCTCGGCTTCCTTCCGTAGACGTTCCATTTCATTTTCGGCCTCCTTCAACAGACGCTCACGGTGACCTTTTGAATCTTTCATTTTAACCCCCAGTTCCTTAATTTTGCTGGCGCACGTCTTTTCAGTTTCTTTGCAAGTTTCAATTTTGTTTTTGAGCTCCTCTGAAATTTTATTTGTACATTTTCAGAGGAAATTTATGCTATGTTACCTATGTTTCGTTTAATTTCATTTACTTCTTCTTGACGTTGATGGTGTGTGGTTTGCTGCAGGCACTGTTGTAAAACTTGCAATTCGTGTTGTTTTATTTCCAATTGCCGTTTCAACGTTAGATATTGTTCTTGTGTTCCACTCATTTCCCTTATTCTATTTTCAATTTGGTAAAGCTCCTTTTCTTTAGCCTTGAGCTTTGCCTAACAATGAAATGAAATAATAGCCTCTTTATATCAAATCGTCAAAGTTCATTCAATTCCAAGATGACCAAACGTAAGCAACTCCATTTGTGTCACTATCTGATGATTATCAATTTAATCAATTCCTATAGGCCGCTCAAATATGCTATCTTATTTAGATGTGAAGGAGGGACTTGCAAATGAATGTCTATACATTGATTGGTGATCTTCAAATTGGGCGGATTTTAAAAATGCAAATCTAAATAAAGTTGTTTAGTTTTTAGGAAAATAATCGGAGACAAGGCTTTAGTCAAAGCAAGATGGAAATACCTCTTGAAGAGCACCATTTGGGCCCTCTCTTATGATACAAATATCTATCGAAACATACTGTAAATATAGTCCAATCAATTCATTTCAACAGGTGGACTATCTACATTTTTTGGGAGTTAAAAATCTATGTTCCTGGAACTCGAGATCCAGGAAACGACTTTTGCTATACAGAATAGAAATTTTGTCTGGAACAACTGTGTCCAAGGTAAGGATGGTCAAAATAGGGAAAAGTAGCGCAATTAAACAGTCATTATCATGTTTTAAAGAAAACCAGAAAATTTTGATTACTTCCGAAAATATGCCTAAGTAACCAAAATATGCGGATTTTTGGTTTTTATTTTTGCCTGATGTTACTTGGAAGAGATACAAAAACACAGACAATAGTTTTTGTGCTCTACCAGACGCCATTGAGAAATATTCAATACTACGTTTAGTTTGGGAGAAATCATCAACTTTATTTTTTTATATGGGTCATAAAAAAAGTACATACTGTATTGAGTATCATTCTTATTACGAATACAACAACATACATCACACACAAGAAAAACAAAACATTTTTTGTTACGGTATTACGATATATTATGTCACACAAAAAAACAAAAGTTGGAAACTGTTGGTTTCAACAGGATGGTGCACCTGCGTACAACGCTCTAATCATGCTATCGGATAACTTTTTCATTTTCCAGAAAATTTGTCCGATAGGTATTCTCGCTCGATTAGCGATTGTTACTCAATACTTCTTTTACAGTCCATATAATAAAATAAAGCTGATGATGCCTTCTTCCTAAACGAAACGTTGTATTGAAAATCTCTCAACGGAGTCTAGGAATTTTCTGGTTTTCTTTAAAGCATGATAATAACTGTTGAATTGTGCAACTTTTCCCTAATTTGACCGTCGTATCTTATATGGTTTCGGAGATCCCCATGATAGACATCCTTATCTTGGACACAGTGCATATCTCAAAACATTTTTTAAAGCTTTTATGGTATCCAAAATAATTAAAAAAACTAGCAGTCCCGGCGAACTTCGTACCGCCTTTGGGAAATTCCTGTTTTACCCGTACCACGTTCCTGTTTTTCCCCGTTCCAGCGGGAATTTCGACAAGTCTCGTCGGAGTACACCTTAACGCCTTCAAAGAAACCGACGTTCGACTGTAAAACATAAAATCCTGAAAGTGTTCTACTACATCAGAAACCTTCGCAGACACACGTTTGACCATCATTTTTTCGCTTATCGCCCGAAGTCGCCGGTTTGGATGCTTCTAGAGGCGTAGTAGATAGAGAATGCCGCCGCGTTTCGCTTTGCAAAAGCTTTCTAACAACTCTCACTCCACGAAAAGAGACTATTTTTTTTGTTACGTTAATTCAGTTTTGTCAAAAAAATTTCAATAAACCGCCTATACCAGTTACACATTCCTAGAAACCAGTGTAGTTGTGCGATGTTAACTGGCGGCTGTACATTCAAAATGGTTTCTACCTGCTCCCTGTCTACCCGAAATCCTTCCGAATTGATTGTATCCTACGTATTTTAAATGATGGTTTGCATAAATGGCACTTATCGGGACTAACTGTTAGGCCTGCGGCAATGAATGGATCTAAAATTTGTGTTAATAACTCCAAGTGGGTCTCAAAATCTGGCGATAGGTATATCATCAACGTAAACATGAACATAAGGCTCTAAATTAACTCCAAGGACTTAGGGTATTAATCTTTGCCAACAAGCAGGGGCGTTTGTTAGCCCAAATGGCATACGTTTAAAATGATAAAGTCCTCTGCCGGGAACAGTAAATACCGTATAGTCCCTACTAGTTGCCTTCATGGAAATTTGCCAATAGGCAGATTTATGTCCACCGTGCTCAAAAATTTTGCACCGTGAAGCCTATCTAAAATTGGGGTGACATATGGTAGTGGGTAAGCGTCTATTTTGGTCTCGGTTTAGCGCCCTAAAATCTACACAAACACAATACTCTTTATCATCTAACTAACAAAATGGGGGACGACCAAGCACTTTTTGAAGGTTGAATTACCCTCTTCGTTACCTCCGAATTGACGATTTTTTGTTTAAAAGGCGAAATGAGGTAATACCGCTGTTTTATTGGACTAATATCAGGCACCAAAACTTGCTCCGTATACCCCAGCCCTTCTCCAATTACTTAAAACTTGACCTCATGTAAACCTTCCAAACGAGATCTTCTGTGTCCTGACTGTCAATCCCAAAGCTTCAATAAGAGAAAGGTCGCCAAAATGTCAATCATTCGCTTTTAATTCCGGTACAATGTCCATTGAGATCTAGAAATCTATACCTGATATAAGCCTAGTGCATAAATCTGGCAACACTAAAATATGTATAAGTTTTACCCTTCTGATTAAACAGATTTTTTTTAATTTCTTCCATGGACATATTGTCCAATGGTCACCACGCATTTGATAGATTGCTCCGAATTAACAATTTCAGTAATATATTCAACCCTGATTGGCAAACTTGGCAGTACTACTACTCCGGAATCTAACAGCCCTAGTATTAAAAAACCAAAAGGTACGGCCTTTAATCACCTTACGAATGGGAAAGTATAAAATCAAGTATAATTTTTTGTTTATTATGTTCAGCCGGCCTATCAAGATGAACAGGTAGCTAGACGGCTATCTAGCAACCTTCCAAACCGTTTCCCTAACTTGTAAAGGGCAACTGTACAACCTCGGGTTTCCGCAGAGGAAGCAAATTATTTGGGAAATGTGGGTACAATTTTTTCGATAATGGCAGAGGTGTTCGCAATTGCAACAATTTGTTAGTTGGTTTTTTTGAGAACGAGGGTTAATAAAGTCAATATGACCAGTTGAAATAATTTCATTTAGCGTTGAAATTTGGACCAGGATATTTTTGGGCCCGTCATAGATTGCTATCAAATTTTGAAATGTGGTATTTTTCTTAACTTGTAAAATGGATGCAAATATTCTTCACAGGAATTAGTTGGCATCTGTGCTGAATGGAAATAATTACCTCTTCCTTCTGAACATCTTCCAACAGTAGCAAAATTGACGGTCCTTTGTGTCTGGCACCGCCACTAAGGATACCAGATGGATCAGTAACGTCCCCTTCCAATGTAACACACTTGCGCCGAATTTGATCATGGAACGTCACCTGACGAGCGATGTTCAAATCCTTGCCAATGAATGCGTAACCAAACACAAACTCCATAGCCGCTTGAAGCTGTCTATCGTACGATATCAGCGACAAAGCAGGTTGAACGTTTTCTATGCCCACCTAAAAATCCCATTGAGGCTATAATTAATGAAGAAACAGTAGTAACCATACCAAATCTTGTGCAAACTTTATAGTGCGTTGATCAATTTTTCCCCCTTGAATTTTGTTGAGAGGAATAAACGTCGTGCGACTTTGCAGGTTACCTCTCTCAAGCAATTTTTTACTGGTAACATCTGTGTCGACCACCACGTTGAATAACTAACAAAAAAAATTAGTAATTAGGGACAGAAACGCCACACACCTTTCCACCAGCCGCAGTCTCTAGAGCAACACCAGTTTCACGATCCCTCAACTGTATTAACCTACAAACTTGACCGTTCACACGTCCCCTGTTAAAATTGGTTTCAGGGTCTCTATATTGAAAGTTAGTGTGTCGGTTATGCGCGTCAAAATTATCTATCTTCTCTCGAAGGGCCCGTATCTCCATTCGCAGCGCCTGCCTCTGATTTTGTAGTGTCGTCATTTCCTCTTCAGAATAATGCAAATTGCCCAAATTTCTCTGTTGAACTCACATTATGTGTTTATCAACGTTTTCAGTTGTACCTACCTCCAACTGCCGAACTTCTTGTTCCATTTTCTGCATATTTTTCTTATCCCTCTCGTAGTCGGAGGTATTCGAATTCAAATCCTTTTGCTTCTCCTTTAATTGACTCTGCTGATGACTGAGCTGCATAGTCGCCTGTTTTATTTCGGTGCTCGCTTCCGCCAACTTTTGCTTGGTGCCTAAGTGAACGGTTTAAGTTAACATTTTTGATGGATAGTAATTACCCATTAGTTGATCTTGGAGAGTTTCCGTTTCACCTGCATCATTAACTTCCATACCGACACTTATTGCTTCGTACTTCCTTTGAGCGGTCGCTAAAGCTTCATTGTCAGCTAATTCCGCGTTTTTGAGTTGCTCAAATAGGCCTTGAACTTTTTGCAAGTCTTGCTCTTTCGATTTTAAAACGGCTTCGTCTTCTTTCAAATTCTGGATATGACAACGTCAACATTAAAGGTACAAGATAACGAAAATACCTTTTCGAGTTGTTTCTTCTTCTTTGCTTCGGCGGCTATGCTTTCTTTCGCGGATTTTTCAGCTGCCCGAACTTTCGCATCTGCCTTTTCATTTTCTTTTAGTTCTGCCTCCACTCTTTTCAAATTCTCGCTACCTGACTAATGATAACAAAAATACTTTAAAATCGTCTCGTGCCATGATTCATGCCAGAGTAAAAAAAATAGGTGACAATTGAAACAAAATTAAAGTGTAATATAAGTCAAGTTTCTGACAAATTTTCTGGTTGTTGAGTCCGTTTCGGTTTTTGTATTCGGTGACTATATTATGAAAAAAATTGGGTGAGAGAAAGAGAGAACTTTCAGAGCGAACCTATATAAGTCGAGCACGGCATTTTAGATCGCGAAACATTTGAATTCAACTGAAAGTTTCAGGACGAATTCGGAGGCATGGAGGCATAAGAAAGATTTGGCAACGGCGTAACCGCGAAAGTTGAAGTTAATTGCGGGTTAACAAACAAACACAGTACCGTCAATTCGACAAAGTTATTGTCGGGCGTGCTTTTTAATTCATAATGCATTATTTTACCACGAAAGCATTGTGGTCCAAAGTACAGAACGTTCATTGCGTTTATACTTGGAGAGGTTAGTTACGATAAATAAAAACAGGTTTATTAAACACATTTGTGTGCCTATCTTGTTTGACGGCAACCGGTAAAATTTCAACTACTAAATTTCTAGAAACCTGAAGCTCAGTTCCGGATTCCCTTCCCTTTCAACCAGTAGTAAAATTTACCAGGCGATACAACAGGTCCAATATTGTATTGCACAAGGCGATCCATCATCCAATTTTCCAAATTGCTGCTACCCCTTCAAAAGGAGAAAACTTTAACTAATTGATAAATGTAAGTTTGAAATTTTTGTACTTATAAAAGCAGTAGTCGATCGTTTTGGGGATTTTGGATAGAAATTATGCTCAAAATCAATTTAACATTCCTAAAGAGGTCGACCCACGGAAATTAATTCTATGAACAGATGAACAAAGGATAATAACCTATTGTCTGCCACTATAAAAAAGGTGGAAAAGGGGTAGGAATTTTTTTAAACTAATTTTGAGCATTGAAAAACAAAAATTCTTTATTCAATGTTTTGAGTGAGTAAAAGAAAAAAACTCCACAGTAAGCTAAACCATAAAAAGGTAAAATTTTGGTAAAAAGATTTGAGCTGGCAAACGGCAGATAACTCATTCAATTTTCACTTAGAAATTACAGTTTTTAAATATGGTACAAAATACTGGGCGAGTTAGCCTTCTGTAGATGACCGATAGTGCCTCTATAATATAAAATGATAATATAATTACTATAGGCTTTTCCTTAGACTGAAACAACAGACTTACCATAACCTTTTCCCTTCATGATTTTGAACCAGTTTAGGTTGCTGAAAGTCACTGTAATAAATTTATTTATTTATTGTAACACACTACTTCCACAAAATTAGTAACGCGCTTACATTGAAATTTACCCCTCAGATAGAAACATAAAGTAAGTTGTTACAACTTCTGTGAGCAAAAGAGTAATTTCAGAGTAATATTTCCCGATTTGGAAAATTCGTAGGGATTACAGAAGGCTATGGAGACATTACTGAAGAACATGTGTTGCCAGAAGCGTTTTGCTGCTACCGCTACTTGTAAGTACCAAAAGAAAACAAAATTTAAAAAAAAGTTGGATTTCAGGGTCACCTATTAGCTTTACCCTGAGATCTGATTTATAAACTTACAGACTGAATAGCCGCCGTCATTTCCTCCACTTTACTTTCAATATTTTTAATCTTTTGGTTATTGTCTGTAATGTTATCGTGAATTTGCTGCACATGTGCTTGGCCCGCTTTCAACGCTTCCTCCGCCCGCGCGCAATTCCTCTTCGACGCAATATACTGCCAGGCCTGGTAAAGCCCCAACATGTGTTCCAGTTCACGTTCGACTCTCTGAAATTCTAAATATGCGGCACGTTCTTCTCTCAACTTGTCCAATTTCGGGCCTATTTCCTCTTGCATTATCTTTGTGGGTTAACGTAACGGTTAGTACTTAAATGATGACAAATTCCTGAACTTACCTTATTTAGCTCTTCTAACTTCGCATCTTTCTTCTCAATGGTTTTTTGGGCCTGTTGTCGCTTAGTCTCGTACATTCTGGTACCGGCTGCCTCCTCTATCATTGCAAGAATCTACAAACATGGTTAGGACAATATGAGGGCATGCAAGAGTCACGTATAGAGATTATTTCGTACTTAGTATTAAAAGTCTTTGCCACACATCAATAAGCCCGTGCAATATGACAGTTGGCTAGTTTTTCCTGCAGATATACAGTGCTATTCATTAAGAAGTAGACATAGGGATTTACGTGTATTATTTTCCCATATGTCTACTTTTAAATGACAAAATCTCTTCTGAAGGACGCCTAATTTTATACAACCAAAGTAGCTTCTTAAAACAAATAAAGATCTGGCTGTCTCATTAATTAATTTGTATATTGTTGATGCAGGAAATGAAGCGCCCTTCAGAAGGATTTTGTCTTTTAAAAGTAGGCATAGGGTAAAAACACATGTAAATCCCCTCGTAAATCCCTATGTCTACCTCTTAATAAATATCACTGTATATCTACTCCATAGGAGCCTTAAGGATCAATAAAGTACTCTTAAAAATTCCTCTTGATGACTTTGTTGACGACACTTGAAATCTTTTGAAGGTTCTTGAATACCACTAAAGATCCTTAAATGCTATTAAATATCCTAAAAAACTGCACCACAAGTTGGAAAACTCTAGAAAAACCTTGAACACTTCAAGCTCGACAATCAAGGCTATTAAACGAGGAAAATTTGGGTTCCTGGCAAAAATGAAAACGTGTGAAATCTTAAAAAGTCCTACATTAATTCGTTTCCTACATTTCGATATTCCAAATCACACATTTTTAGGTATAGTGCTTTTGCAGCCACTATATCTGTCCCTTTGTCCATATATAGATTCATTGAAAGCGATCAAGAGAGATTCAAGTCTATGTAGTGCTCTCTCTTACGCGTAATAGAAACTTACCTCAGGTGGTTTCATGTTCAGTACTTTCGTAATACGTCCCTGCATGATCAAAAAATGGGGGTTATTAACGTTTAACTGTACGGAACAGAACAAGTCTTGTATTCGTTTGTTTTGCACCACAGATCCGTTTAACAAATATTTATTCTTGCCACCCATAGCCACCTGTCGACTGATCGTTATCTCCTCATAATCCTCAAAACCGGGCGGACTTTGTTGCGAGTTACGGTTGTCGAACGTTATCGATACTGTCGCTTTTGTCACTCCGGCTTGGCCAGATCGATAAATTAAATCTTGTAGGTTTCCCGCTCTCACCTGAAAATAATTGAGGTTAATTTTGCGCCAACTGGCTGTGAAGTCTACCTGACTTAAGTTTGAAATGCCCAGTACAAAGCATATCGAATCTAAAATGTTGGATTTACCAGTACCGTTTAAGCCAGTGATCGCATTGAACTCTCGATCAAATCCGTGTATTTCGGTACGTTGGCCGTAAGATTTGAAACCGTCCAGCACAATCGATTTTATGTACATTTTGTAAATTAAACTTCAATCCCTTTCAGATGATTTGCACACACAATTTGAGAGAATAAATACTGAAAATAGTGTACAAATATCATCAATGACCGTTGTAAACACTTTTGAAATGATTTCATCATTGCCAACTAAATGTAAATACAAATACAATAGTAATAGGTATACCAACATCTAAATAGAAAAGTTGCCTAAAGAACAATGAATGCAGAGGAGTATGTAAGGTTGCCTATTCACAACTGCAATACGCAGAATATGAAATTTGCCACATTCCATTTCCTACATCTTTTGGTCCTTGCTTCTTTATTAGCGATCAATGAAAGAATAATTATAATTTTAATCCAGAATGCGTCTACGCATTCTTCAGGTTTATCGTTTATATATGTTTTGGATTCCATGATTCCTTGGATATAGTTACGAATTTTTAATGCATATTTGGTGATTACAGTACAAGACACACGTTTTACATTTCATGCTTCATGGTATTTTAATGAAAAGTCTCATCGAAAAGAATTGGTTTCTACAAAGCCCAAAGTCCCTCGCGACTCGACTGCCCAAAGTCCCACGCGACTCGACTTTTCGAGATCAGGGGGTAGGGGAGTTAAATATTGACAGTGGCCTTCATGGTATTAATTAAAGGTCTCAACAAACGAAATTAATATTTCTGTCAACCACACAGTCCTCCTCCTCGACCTCCTATATCGCATGATCTGTTATACTTCCTTATACCTCAAAAATGAATAAGATTACTCACAAAGTGAAACTGGGGCCTCTTTTAAATATAGCCGTTGGTGATGCCAAAACTTTTAAAAACTAATATTTCAAAAACGGTGTGTCGGAAGAGAATACTCGCTACTCAGTACCCACAAAAGCAAAATAAATCTTCTGGACGAGACATGTGTCATGAAAATGTTAAAAATAAATTTACATTATTATTGTAAAGTATTTTTAAAGCTCTTCAATAACGTTCCGATGAATGTTCAAAAAATGTTCACTTGTTAACAATCTAATGAACGCTTTCTAAGAACGTTGTGTGAACAACAATACTTGTAGTATTTGGACATTAAAAGAACGTTTCAGGAACGTCATAGTACATTGACCAGACCAGTCTTCAGAATGTATCAATTACCCACCTGCAAAAGTTCTGCGCTTGCGCCTGGAATGTATTATACCAATCGTACCCTACGCGGATTGAAAAAAATTCAAAAGGGTCGCGAGATATACAGTGTGTTTAAGATAAGGGAATGCACAGCATAAGTAAAACGGGCACCACTAAGGAATATACACAGTCGGTTAAATTAGAAAGAAGTTATTGCGTACCTGTTTTGGGGCTTAGTAAAATGTTTTAAAAATTGGGAAATTCCGATCAGTTCTAAAGATATTCGAAAAAAAAAACCGAAATTAACCATATATTCGTTTTTTTCTGACCCTGTTTGAAAAGATATCAAAAACAAATAACTCTTCCTCTGGAACCTTTTAAGCTCCACCAGAGGGTGCCCACAGATTTTTACTGCGACGTTTTGTCTTTGAGAATCCATCATCAATTTCATATATTTTTATATGGACCGGAAAAAAGTACATACTTACATATACTTACTGTGTATTGATTAGCACCACAGTGTACCTATATGGAATCACTTATGGACGGTTAAGCTCCACCCCCTCATGATGTGATGTCACTCAACTACCTTCCTTTCAGTTCTCCAATCTGCCTCCTTTCAAAGGATAACGACTGCAGAAGACGCTTTGTGACTCATATTGCACTCATTTAAGAAACTTGGATTGTTCAGTTTCGTTTTCCTTCAGGTTTGGGAGATATCTAATTAGCCTTGTAATTTTTTCCAAAAAGAAGGAGCAATAAGTTGCTTCCGGACTCCAATGACTTTTCAATTCACTTTTAGGCGAATTTCCAGCCAACTTTTGAAAAAATCATTCTCAGCAATTATTAATTTTTTGTCTTTTGCCCCAAATGTTATCAAGTGAATGGCAAAGTAGACATTGCCACTTACAAAACTGTAAAAATTACATTTCCATTTTAAGTACTTACATTTAAGAAAAACAAGACGCATAAATTAAAACTATAATCAAAAGCTATAAAGAGAAGATGAACAGTTATTTTCTAACCGATTATATGAAGTACAACAGAATACAATAGCAACAAATGTATAACATTATGAATTAAAAACAATATCGATTACGCCGCGTATATAAAACAATTGAAAACATACTTGCTTGATGAATTATTGCAGTCTTTAGATACAGATTAACTACCCTTAATTCTGATAAAGTAAGTATTCTTTTAACATTTTTGGTAAAGGCAAAGCCGATACTCCCTTTGTTGTAATGTGCTGTAAAATGGCATCTCTACATGCCGATTGCAGTGTTGGTACTAAAAATAGAATAATTAAAAGTGATCCAAGAACACCCCGATGGTTACCTCCGTAAAGTTGAATAATTCTAACTTTTTTTGTAGTTCCATACACGTCCACAACAACATGAAGAGGTGCATCACTATAAGGTATATGCTTAACACAAGCGCCTAAGTCTTCACCGTTAATGATGTAATGCATATTGGCTTCGTGCTCGTTTATCGGAATATACATTACACCTATTTTACTACCCGTATCGGTAGGTAGAATATCACTGGAATGCTTGATGGGTTTCAAAACGTGCAGCGGTACGGTTCCTCTACATGTTCGGATTACGCCGTTATAGTTGCTCAACCTTCTATGACCACATTTTCCGTGCTTCCTTTCGTGCTCGCATTCGTACGAGTGATTGTGTGCCTTGGTTATGCCGTATATCCACGAGGTACCCTTACTCGCCAGGTCGGGTAACGCATATTGAGGAACGCCCGTTTGAAAAATCGTATACGGATCTAATTGAGTTAAACCTAGCCTCATATGCCCGCTCCATCCGCGCTCATTCTGATCAATCTCCAGTAGGAATATTTCTCCCGGCTGAAGGGGTTTTTCGCTAAAAGTTAAAGCGTTGGCGAAGCTTGTTTTACGATATGCTACTGTGTTGTCTTCTGATAATATGATGTTTTCACCGTGGTACGGATGAAACCTTGTTAGATGAGTTCTTGTATTCGACATATTTTCCTTATCTTTTTGTATGAATAAACTTGCCATCTGCAATTGGTTTTTCTGTAATTTCTCAATTAAAAGTTTCTTTTAGACTTACACATTGTTGCACCAACAACATAATTTTACTTTAATCTGCGAGAAAACCACTCATTTTTGTCTTAATAGTTTATGTTTACTTATTTTATTTATTTATTTACATGTAAACAGGGAAAGAAGAAGTAGTGGTAAAATCCCTACAGTATTCATTTAACCTAACATTTAAAGAGAGTCCTACAAACCAACACTTTTTAAAATATGGTGTAGGTAAGCAATTAAGTGATTAAAATTATTCATTTGTAATCGGAAAGTGCACAAACTCTTATTATGTAAATAATGAAGTAATTTAAATGTGTAACGTGCATCCTATAAAATAATTTGTTCGTTACTTCGTTAAACTTATATATAGGGTAAGTCAAAAGTATATAGTCAACCGATTACTCATCAGAAAAACCCCAGTTGAAAATATGACTCATTTAAATTATACGGTTATTAAATTTATAGATAGTTATAAATTCAATGATACAGTTTACGTTTTGACCATAGACATATGCTTACTCTCATATGTCTATGGTTTTGGCACCGCGTATTGTAAAGAGACTCAATTAATCTATGCCTATAATATAAGTATAATGAAATGAAGGTAAAGGAATTAATTAAACAGTGTGTCCACGGGTTGACTTCACTATACATGTAATTGATCATATCTCGTTTTGAAGAATGAGAATTGAAGAATTTTAAAGCACATTTTTACTTTTTAAAATCCAAGATGGCCGTCATAAATGAGAAAAAAAATAGTTGTATGTTCAGGTAAAGGCCATTTCGGTCAATAATACGGCAAAAGTTGTTTAGAATTATGTCCATATGAGATTTCCCAAATATCGGATCACTTTGATTAAATCAGTATTTGATTTGTAGTCTTGCACAACAACCTCAAAAACAAGTATTCTGTGTACCTAAATAAAACAAATGAATTATTATTAACTGTCATTAAGATTAAAGTGACACCTAAAACAATCTGTTGAAATGAATTATCTTTTATTGTTAAAGCGCAAAACTATAAATCAAATACCTCGTCAAATACTGATAGTTATAATCAAAGTGATCCGATATTTATTGCATACTAGCTGACCCGACGGACGTTGTCCTCTTTCCTCGCTATGCATACCTAATTAATTTGCACTGGAAAAAATTATTTCAAGAAATTTTCTGTGCCTAGCGCAGGTACCACCCGCCCCACCTGCGCATACGCGATTCGGCCCTTTTATGTCTAAGAATATGTGTCCCAAATTTGGTTTCAATCGGTTCAACCGTTTAGCCGGAAAAGAGATATTGACACACTTGCCCCAAAATCTCCCCATCTCTCCCCAGAATAATAAAAAATAAACGCACTCACTTCTACGTTGCTTGCGCCAAATGCCGTAATTTGAAAGCAATTCTGGATTTGAGTAAAAAAATGTATAGAATCTGGCCCATTTCCAGAAACCAAGGAATGCTCTGGTGGCGGTACCAATGGCGTAAATTTTGCTTGGCCACTGGCGCAACATAATCCCGGGGCTTCAGTTTTAAACTTAAAAGCCTTGCAATGTGGACACACAAAGTTCTTTGGTCTAATAGCAACGATTTACTGTAAACTGTAATCGATTGTTACGTTGTAATTAAATGCAGCTCGATAGGGATTAAAGGGGACATTTCTGCTCGTCAGTTTGACTTACCGGGTGGTGCACGGTATACCCGCAAATTTAAAAATAAGTTTGAACATTTCTGTTATTAGTAGCAATAGCCATGACTTTTTTTGTTTTATGAAAATACTAATAACAGAAATGTTGAAATTTATTTTTAAATTTGCGGGTATACCAAAAGCTTAATAAAACATGTAAAACCAGTTTTAATTCTGAACAACTTTAAACTCTACAGTTTTTTCTGTAAAATGTACAGGAGGGCAGGATATTGCATAAAACTAATTTCCCATGTTCAATCCCTATGTTCCTACTTACCGTGCACCATCCGGTATGTTTGACTTGTAGGATTATGGTACCATATGTTGGTACGTCTAATTAGTAGCATATACAAAAAACTTAAATTCAACTGAAAATAGAAATTAACTCCCTAGTGTTTCTGTATAACTATGTATACCACGTGTTTAGTCTATCAACACTTACCAAAAATGGATATTAGGTATATCTAACTTTTAATATAAAAGGCGTGATTGCGGTGAAATAACATCGACATTTCTCAAAAAACTCTCTGAAATCTGGATAAACTTCCCGATCGAATTGACAGCACACAAATTAATTTTTTGACGGATATATGCCGATCGATGTAGCTGTTAAAACAATTGCTGCCGCACCGTCAAACGCGCGATGTTTAAATAGTCGTTAAGTTTTCTCCAATTTTCCAATTTTCTGCGCGATTTTCTTAGTTTTTCTTGCCGTAAGAACCTTCTACACAGTATTAGAAAACTTAAAAAAAAAAGATGAACGAAATCGGTAAAGTCGTTCTAAAGTTATTGCGTGACCAGAAGAAACAGGGGTTCATTTTTGTATATAGAGATAAGGACATAATTTCATATTCTAAATAATTTTTCTTAATGTCAGTTTTCCGTTAGGTTTTCCGTGTTATTGACCGAAGCGGTATTTTACCTCAAGATAATAGTATATTATATTATGAGGAGCTAAAGTGATACTTTTTATGGCGAGTCAGTGTTTGATGGCCGAGCGAAGCGAGGCCAGCAAAATACTGACGAGCCATAAGAAGTTACTTTAGCTCCGCATAATATATGCTATTTTTTCTTCAAACATGAGAATAACGCCCAAATAATGGTTTCCAAATCGGAAGAAATATTAACCCGATCGTTATGGGTAGCCGTGAGCGCGTCGGCCGTGGTGACTATAACAATTGCTATAGTTGGCCATTATTAGTTTTGACGTTTTAATTGTGGACGAGTTTTTCGATTTCAAATAAAAATGAAATTGCACAAAAAATACTTTCGACAACTTTAGAAAATCCAGGTTTATCAGATGGAATGACTTCAACTACTCCTTCATTTGAAGCAGAAACCAATACAGTTTTTTGAAAATACTTCATTCATTCATTAGAAATAAGACGAGCCAAACAAAACTTGACTCTTCAAAACTTGGATGCTGCAGGAACGAAGGTTTAATTTCAATAATGGTACTTTCAACATTAACTATTATTTAAATAAATAAATAGCTTCTTTGATCGACTATATTTTTATTTCTGTTAAAATCAGAAGGAAAGATCAACGCACTTGCTAGGTGAACCAAGAACCTAATGTAAATAACATCAACTTGTCAAAGCAAAACAATGTGACACTGGCACTGAAGCGTTTTATTGCCTAGGCACTAAAATACTTCACTGCCGCTTGTTCGATTGTTCTAAAAAGTCAAACTTTAACTCAGAGTGCTGGGCTACGTAATGTCAATATTATATGACGTTTGAAGAAAAAATTGTTTTTTTTTCTCATTTGACGCGGCCATATCTTGGGTTTTAAAAAGTAAAAGTGTGCTTAAAATTCTTTTCAGACCAAGTAGGCCGGGATTCCAAAACATCAATACGAGATTCAAAAATGTTTGTTAAATTACGCACCATTACTCAATTCGGGGACACACAGTATATAAGTCCAGGAAAATGGCAAAAACGATGGGGATGGGGATGGCCATTTTCTGAGACAACCCGCTCCTTGAAATCGGAGAATTACTAGCAATGTGTTAAAAAATGAGTTAAAGTAGGGCTATTGAATGTTTGCCAGTATAGCTACTAACTATGCATGTATACCACAGCTGACTCGTCCGTAAGCTTAGTCCATAAGCTCGTCCTCCATTTTGGAGCCCACTGCCAATTAACCTCGCAATTAACCCATACAAAACGTTTCTTGCATGTATTGCGTTATCATTTAAAGAAAAACTATTGATTTTTTGAAACGTTATTATTAGCTATTGCATAAAGGTATTTGAGAAAGATTTTACACATTAACCAGATTTTCTGTGCACAGATTTGGACTGTCCCTTGACTCCAAAATGGCAGACGAGTCTGCTACCTTAATCAAGTAGGTACTGTATTTGCCGCATGACGTCACGTATGGATTTACAGTAGACTCGTCTGCCATTTCTTTCTCAAATGATTGTGTAAACCCAATTTGTAGGTTTCTATTATAAGTTATTTTAATTTTTTTTATTGTTTTATTTATTTTAATTATTTTGTCGCATAAATATAATTATTTAGATTTAATCTGTTATTTTTGGGTCACCAACTTAGTAAAGTATGACGGCGACATAATTATGATGCCGAGGGGCACACAGATTCTTTTTTTTAATCCTATTTATTTTTATAATTTTCATGTTCTTCAAGCAATCACCATTTTGTTAATATACTTAAGGCTCCTCTGTAGTCAATCCGCCATATTGGAAAAATAGCTAAACTTTCTTATGAAATGCTGCTTTTGTAGTTGAAGTCTAACAAATTCTCGGTAGTGGATATTCTTTGCAATGATGAAAAGAACGGCGGTACTTAAAAAAAATTGAAATATCGGTCTTAGTTTTTTAGGAAGATCGATGAATAGAAAAATCGTTTTTTGTAGATAACAGCCGATGTAATGAGGGTAGAAAAACGTGCAGCACCAATTTGGAAATCCGACAGTATTTATTACGGCCGTACTTAAAGATATTATTTCCATCTATTATGATATTTTAAAAAATGTTTCGCGATCTTCAGAAAGAAATCAAAACGCTAACGTAAAGATAGGCAACTCAAATTGCACTTATAACGCCTGAGGCGACAACTCATTACTTGAAAGGGAAAACAAAAGAAACTACCTGGCATTACCCTACACATTGTTTACGCCGTTCCTAATGGTACGGATTAGATAAATTACAATTTATTATTTATTTATTTGAATGCTGTTGATTTGTAAATCATAATGTCACATATTCCCGAGACGAAAAATGGATATCCTAATTATAGGTAAATTGGAAATAATGTTTTCTTTCTAAAACCTTTTGCATCCCACCAGGATGCTTCAAGAAATAAAAAAAGCCCTATAATGAGGCTGTAATAATATTTCCCTTTGACGGGGCGGGGAGTACGTACAATACTAGGTACTTCACATATTATATCATAAGTAGTGCTGAATATGAACTCTGTTTTATAACAATGCTTTCAAACTACCAGAAGCGTAGCACTTGGTTTAGTTAGATCAAATCAAATATGACTAAATTACACGTTTGTGTATATTTCCCATCTAAAATTATCAGTTTCCTCAAATAGTCCAGCATGCGGAGCAGTCAGAAGGGCCGATTCCTGCAAAATGTGGTGTAAACGATTTTAACGTTTTAAATGGTCCATTTGGGTCCAAATAACATGTATTTGAAGAGTGCACACCAATTTTTTCCCGGCACAACTTTTGGTAGCCAAAAAACCTCAAAACGTTCGGACTTTCTTCAGTTTTTCGCTTAAAACTCCAAAACGGTCCATATTTTATGAATAACACTTCTTTAGTAAATTAAAAAAAACAAAATTCTGCGTCGATAAAAAAAAACAAACAAAATCGGTCCAATAGAAAAATTTTTACAAGCGGTCAAAAAACGCCCATTTTTTCCAACTTTTCTAAAGAACTGAGTTAACCTTTTTTTAATGCGTTGTAGCTCCTAAAGGAACGATAAAATCCACTACCTCCCTCCCTAAAGATTGTAGAACATCAATCAGAGAGTTCAAAAAGTACCAACAATTTAAAATTGGACCAATTTTTGAAATTCGTTGAAAAAATAGGCGTTTTTTGATCGCTTGTAAAAATTTTTCTATTGGACCGATTTTGTTTGTTTTCTTTATCGACGGATAATTTTGTTTTCTTTAATTTACTGAAGAAGTGTTATTCATAAAATATGGACCGTTTTCGAGTTTTAAGCGAAAAACTAAAAAAATGACAAAAATTTTGAGGTTTTTTGGCTGCCAAAAGTTGTGCCGGGAAAAAATTTGTGTGTACTCTTCAAATACATGTTATTTGGACCCAAATGGACCATTTAAAACAATATAATCTTTTACATCACCTTTTGCAGGTCAAAATTGTCTGCATACTGGACTAAGGGTAAGTCTTCGTGGAAATTATCTATTTCGAGAAATGCGACCAAAAGCAAAAGATGCACATGCATTTCCATAAAGTTGCGCCCAATAGATAACAAATGGCATATAGGCATTTTTTCACTTATTAGCGGAACATAAACATAGGAAACGTCGTGGTATGTTATACATATAAAAGAAACGCTACCGATATAAATACAATTCCCCTTTTTAGTTAAATTCCTAAGCGGGATACGATAACTAATGGCCGACACTGACAATTTTATTTAAAACAAAGTGTCACTGTTTTGCTTATGTAAAGTCAAGTTAGTGAAAGTGGTGGATATAAAAAAATTCATGCACTTTTAAAAAAATTCGACTATTTATCTTTCCGTTTGAGAATACCTTTTGATGGAGTCCCACAAACTTCACATCAACTTGGTGAATTTTTTTCAAATTTCCAATACTATGTAGCGACAGAAACCGATAAATTTTTTACTATTACCTACTTCTTTTTTCAATCAACTTTATCAACAGGAATATTTGTCCCTCAAAAAATAGGAGGATCAAGTAAATTTTATTTTTACCATTGAATTCAGGGCAAAAAAGTGAAGTCATCTTACCGCACAAAAGATGTTCGGAAAAATTCTCCATGGGTTGTGCAGGATTATAAATAAGTACCTAATACGCTAAATGTACAATTGTTATTAATTTTTGAAAAGATATAAAAATCTATAAATCAGTAAAAATCATTAGAACAAATCACAAGAAATAAAGGGGTAATTAAAAAATGTTATAACAAACAATGCTAATCTAGTCCACTAATTACATGAAATACCACGTAATTTACAGAAGGTGTCATTATAGAGAAATGCAGTAAATGCATTGAATAAGTAATTTATTCAATGGTGACAGAAATAGGTATTTTGCATCTCCAGTCAAATATTGTACAGCTTTTCGATAAACTTGTTAACATAATAATTAGTCCTTGATCATTATACATGGTCTATTGTGTTTAACAATAAATGAAGAGAATATGCAAAACTGAGAAGGATAGATACATCGTTGGTTTTACTCAAGGAGATCATGTAGCAGTGTGTATTGTTGGCGGCCTAACCAATTGCAATAACACTGAAATACGAATTGACTACAGTATAGGTACTTACGTATATTATTTGTATTTTAGGAGCAACTATAACGATTTAAATTGCAACGCAATTCTTCTACAATGAATTGGTCAAAGTATAAGTTTAGTAAGCAATCTGAACCGGAGCTAATGCAGTTCTTTAAAGTAGTTGCCAATCAAACTCCCGACCCCGTTTCACCGCAAGTGAAACAGCTCTGGGAGGAAATATTACCTTTGGTGAGTGATGTTAAATTTTTCCCGTGATTGTTGCTGATTGATATTCAGGACAAAGAGGTGTTGGCTAAAATTGCATCTTTAAAAACCGTAAGTGCTGACTGCATCGAAATTATAGACAGTGATGGCGAGGAAGATCGAAGCAGTGGTCAAATTGATCATTCTTCACACGATTCTCCTTCAAATATTGTTACCAGCACAGAGGATTTCATTGATAGCGTTAAGGAGCTACTGGAAGAGGAAGAGGTCACATCCGAAGATATAATTAAAAAAATGTCTTCGTGCTCGCCAGAGCAACTAGACGAAATATTTACCATACTGTCTGACGATTTAAATTCGGAATCTACTTGGAAATTATGGAGGTCAATTTCAAACTCAGTTTGCCACGAACGCGATTTAGTGGCGTCATATTTTTGCAAATACATCCTAACTCGAAAGGTACAACTGTTTGATTTTTCTTCAAATGAATTACTCAATTAGTTTAGATGCTCACCAACGATCACACTGTTGAGAAGCTGTTACAAGAAATGCTTGCAACTTTACCTGATATTGTGAGTGTAAGTTTAGTGGACAGCTTGGTGAATACGGACGGTAAAACTTTATCTGTCCTAAGAAAACACGTGCAGATGTTATCAGACGCCCGACGCAACATATTGCTAAAGTAAGTTTATATTTTGACGATTACGTTTTCAAAGTAGATACTTTTAGTCAATTTTTGAAGACGTGCGCAACTCTTCAGGTGGAACATTTCGCAAACATTTCGTGTTTGATTTCAAAAAGTATCGACCTGACCAGCATAAATATTATAATGGAGATGATGTACAACAACGCAAAAGAATTTTCAGATGACAAAACTTTTGGGAAATTCATCATAGATATTATACCACTGTTGGGAAACAGAATTGTTAATTACGAATCGCATTTAACACATATAATAGGTGTTCACAAATCTATTTATGGATCTCAAGCTAACAAAGTGTTTGAGAACTGTTTAAATGAACAAAAGTTGAATGTTTCTTTAAGTTATGCAGTGTAGTATAGTATAATAATATGTAGTGTATACCTAATCTATTATTAAAATTGTTTAACTCAGTATATTATTGGGGTTGTCTTTTTTGTTCAAAGACTCCATGCCCAATGAATTGAGAAATATAACGTTGCGACTTGGATGAATTTTTTACTCAGACTATTCAATGCTCAGACCCAATTTCAAAATGAATACAGCGAAATTCCGAAAAGAGATGAGTCTGTACGACTATAAATATTGTGTTGATAAAATAGTAGTTTACATATCAGGTAGGTAATGTTAAGACACAAGCAGATGAAGTACCTACTCGTAGTAGACTGTAACGTAAATTTAATTACGTTACTTATATATTTACAATTAATTAACAATAAATTACACAATTTACAATTTACACAATTTATAACAGCGCCAACTATTTATTACTTCGGCGTTGAAATTGGAACTGACTGAAACACAATTCGATATGTTTATATAATAAACTCTCTTTCCTTCTCGAAAGTTCTCGAACGTTTCCGAGTATTCTAGAATGTTCTCGAACAAACACGTCAGATTTCCCGGAAAGATTGCATCACATCCGCCATCGTTCTGTATCGCCTCGATGTCTATCGAGATTTCTGAAATATTCGCAACGTATGCGATTTTCGATAAAGGGTGACCTCATCCTTTAGTAGGATTCTACAGGGTGTAAAAAAAGTGTGCTGCCAAACTGAAACCCTGGATAGTAGGCAACCAGCTGAGCAGAAAATACTTAATAACTGGTTGTCTAATCAGTACCGTTGCGGAACTATGAACCCCTAAAGACGACCAATGAGCGCGCCGTATTACGAATACCGCAACACAGGGATGCCGATGTAACAGACTCTTGCTGCGTTAGGCGCAAGGTTCGATTCTCGCCTCGGGCATTTTTTTAAAAATAATTTTTATTTGTGGCCCTGAAAAAGGCCGTTTTTTTTCTCGCTTTCTTTAAAGCAAGTGCTCAAAGTGACCACCTTGAACGTCAATGCACAGATGGGTGCGTCGGATTAGACTATTTCGGACTTTCGCGAAAATCCGTGGATTTTCTCGAAGTTCTCGCGCGGCATCGAAAATTCTGTCTTGGAGATCTTCTCGGGTTTCTACGGGGGTTGCGTAGATTTTGTCTTTTAAGAAACCCCACAAAAAGAAATCGCACGGTGTTCAGTCAGGAGATCTTGCTGGCCAATGAACGGGTCCACCCCTACCAATCCAGCGTTTCCCGTAGGTTGCCGTTAGATGGTTTCGGGCATCGAATGAAAAATGTGCAGGAGCACCGTCATGCTGAAACCACATCCTAGCTCGTGTGGCTAGTGGCACATCTTCCATCAAAACTGGTAGAGTGTTTTGCAGGAAGTGCAGGTAAGCTGCGCCATTGAGACGTGGGGGTAAAACCCACGGTCCAATGAGATGGTCACCAATAATATCTGCCCAAATGTTGATTGAAAATTTGTGTTGGCTTGAATCAACATGCGTGGCATGCGGATTGTTCTCACTCCAAACATGGCTGTTGTGTACGTTGAAGTATCCATCACGCGTAAAACAGCATTCGTCGGTATGCATTAGCAGAGATGCAAAGTCGGGCTCGGCCTGGCACTGCTGCAAAAACCATTGACATGTCTCTACTCGAGGTGCGTAGTCATTATGAGAGAGGCCTTGAACCTTTTGTAAGTGAAATGGGTGCATTCCTTCGTCGTTCAAAACCTGCCAGACGCTCATGTTTGAACAATCCAATTCGTGGGCTATTGCGCGAGTACTGGTTGACGGGTTCTCTTCAATCCTATTTAAAACAGCTTCTTCAAATTCCACTGTTCGTCGAGTCCGTGGACGGCCAGTTACATCAGGATTGCGACCCAGCGTGCCATGCTCACCTAAATTTCGATGGATGTTGACAAATTGCGCGCGGTTAGGCTGGACACGGTTAGGATATCGTTCGGCATAAAGACGAACTGCCTCTCGCGCATTACCGTCAGCTAAGCCGTAAATAAAGTGCATATCTCGTCGCTCCACAAAGTCGAATCGATTGGCCATGGTTAGATTAATAATTAAAGGTAAATAAAACTTCACAAAAAATATCCAAGAAGACGATACTCTGAACACAGGCTTCAGATAACTAACCAGCGCGTTGACTGACAGTTCACAATCTGTCACTCCCCACCGTTCACCCACGATACACTTACACACGGTACGCTCATTATTTTTCTCAAAAGCGTTTTCTACTGCGCATTACGTCACCTGCGAACGTGTGGCGCCAAAATTCAAATGTTTACGCACGGAAAAATCCAGTACAGATGTCACGCGTGACAGTTTGCACCTTTTCAGTTGTATTTACGAGTTTTATAGCGTTAATTTGTTGATAGCTAAGTAATCATTAGTGAAAATTCCAAAATGCCAGGTTGTGTGTGGAAATAAAATAGGTACTTTCGATTTCCGAAAATTGAAGACTTTTCTCTAAAATGGATTGTTGCAAGTCGTCGTAAGGACAAAATTACCTTGAAAAATGGTGTTACATTATTATTAAGTGGTGTGTTTAAGTCTTTCCATTGCTGTTTAATCCTATATCCTGTATTTGTTATGAACATTTTGAAGTCAGCCGTTTTGAAGCACCGCTAAGGGAACGACTTCTTAGACCTACTTTTAAAAACAGCGGATGTTTGAAACCTGATGCTTTACCTACTTTAAAACTACGGCGTAATAATGAAAATCAAAACAAAAGGGACACGGAGGAGAGATTAGATCTTTTGATAACGCATTAATTATATAATTTTTACTGAAACAGCCGCATTTCATGTTTAGGGCCAATGTTTTTGGTTAGAGTTTATTTCATACGATCACGAAATCCCAGAAATAACTTACGCGAGGATCTCTACACAAATCAGTATGATTTGTCAACTAACCTTGTGATTTGTCGATCTAAGCATCGTAATTTTGCTCTATATTCTGTGGTTTTGTTCGCACGTGACGTCACGCTAGATGCGCAAGAGCATACCGTTGTAAGTGTATCGTGCGTTCACCTAACGCAGCAAGAGTCGGTTACATATCGCATCGGCATCCCTGTGTTGCGGTATTCGTAATACGGCGCGCTCATTGGTCGTCTTTAGGGGTTCATAGTTCCGTAACGGTACTGATTAGACAAGCAGTTATTAAGTATTTTCTGCTCAGCTGGTTGCCTACTATCCAGGGTTTCAGTATGGCAGCATACTTTTTTTACACCCATACATTTTTATGTTATTATGTTACGTTGGAGGCGATTTTGTGTATGATCCTGACGTTTAAATTACAGGAGGTTGAGAGGCTAAAGCTCCATAAAGTCGGGTTTACGAGGGAAACTGTTAAGGTTACAGGAAAGTTCCCGTGTACTCAGTAGTGTTATTTTTGCGTTGTTGTGAGAAAGTTCTGCTGATTTAGCAAAAAGAAAGTCTACGTGGATTGTGGTTGACAGCAGGAAGGCAGGATCCAGGCGGCAGACTCCTACAATTTATATTGACAATTCAACTCATGTATAAAAAATCGCATAAGCCGCAGTGCAATTGTCACTTTGACAGCGGCAAAAGTTACCTGCATCTTTTCCAGCGACAAATGCACTAGTGGTTTTTTCACTATTCATTTTCGAACCAATTATCGCATTATCCTTTCCCATATGACTAGTTTGACGTCTGTCAATAATTGATTAGTTTCGTGAATTTCTTGTTCGTTAAATTGTCCTGCCGAATTACACTCGAGGTTTGTATTTAAACCGAGTAAATTTGGGTTGTTGCAACTCAAATCTGTTTCCTTTTAGCAATTGAACTCGAAAAACTGTCAACCTAAAAATGCTCCACCTGCGGTGTCGCATTTTTATTAGTTGACAGTTTTTCTCGTCTAATTGCTAGGCAACAGATTTTCATTACCTAAACAACCCAAATTTACTCGGTAAAATACAAACCTCTTGTGCAATTATAAGTGAAAATTATACACCATAGCCGTTATTTGCTAATCACAAGTATTTTCCATCGGCAAAATGGTAGAAAGTTATATTCCACTAATTTAGAAATTTCATCTCGCACATTTAAGTAAGGATAATTAACAGTAGCTGATTTAATGAGATGCAGAAACAACATCCGATTAAGTTGTCAAGTTAAAAGAAGCGCTCTTTTGTATTTTAAGACCAACTACACATTTTTAGGACGCCAGCGGACCGCACAATGGATTATAGAAGTTTTAATTTTTAGACTTCTTATCCGAATACACTGGGCTGGTTGGGAAACCGGCGCGGCGTTCCCTCCATATGGCATGGCCAAATTTTATAAAAGGTAAGTCTTTGTTTAGAGAAAATCTTTTGCATCTTTGCAAGTTATACGTTCGTAAGTACCGTAATTTTGAGATTTTCCGTAAATTTACTTTGGCAACCGTACCGAATTTAAATCATCGATGTTTTGCTAGTTACATTGGTAAGTACCGTATTAATCTTTGATACTTTCAGTAAATTTATTTTACATTCATACGCCTTCCAGCCTGTGGAGGCGTAGGTTAGCGTTAGGAGTGGGCGAACGTAGCTTTTGAACAGGTGTATCTTTTGCTTTCGCGCCACCTCTGATTATGACAACATGGGATATAATCGGGCTCTTGCCATCCGTGCTTTGGGGACAATGTCTGCATACAGAGCATCCTCCTTGTCGCACTCCCGCGGCGGCAGATGTTTCGTTCGTCAACTGGTCTTCTATTCTGACCCGGAAAGTAAGTGAGGTAGGCACATTTTGGGTATGATGTATCTTGACTAGCAGAATCTGTAGAATGCCTTTTCGTTATCAAATGACGCGACGCAGCTACGGTGATCTGGGCTCTGTTGTGGCTTCAGCAACGGCGTCTACCAGGCGGATGACTTGTAGAGTTGTATCGAGTATTGTCTACGAAACTCGAACTTGTCATGACTTATGTATGATTGCAGTTTCGCCAACAGTACCACGAATACATTGTAGATCTTGGAAGCACTCGGCAGGTTAGCGTATTACGGTGTTACTAAGATCCTTTCTCTTATCCTGAATCTTGGTGGCGTAAACGAGACTGCGATAGCCTTTAAAATGAAATGTGACACCAAAAATGGGGTCATTGACCTTTGATGACCTTGAAATTGACATATGATTCCACAAAAAATGGGGTCATTGACTTTTGGAGGCGAAAGATCGTTCTTTCAGCTTTACCTTAACCTACTTTCTAAGGTCACCGCTATGTGGCGAGCGACCTTGAACGGTCCAGATACGCTCTTGTTACTCTACTAAGCATCTTCTGTTAAATTTTCAATAAGAAAGTTCGCACTGCGCATGCGCAATCCTTTTTTTTTGTTTTATTGGTTCATATTGTTTTATAAGAGGGATCTTCAGCTAAAATTTCAGAAAAATTTGCTCTGTAATAAGGAATGTATACATAGGTCTGCACATGCGCAATTTTTTGCGTAGTGTGCGCAATTTCTTTTTTATTATCCGTTTCATTTGTTTTTATAAGAACAAGCACCTCCTCTTTCACAAAAATTCATCCACAAACATGCAACTTTCGTCTGAGCACACGTAATCCTATTTTTTTGTACATATCTACCACATACCATATACAGGGAATTTTTCTTAAATATACTGGGTGGTGCACGGTAAGTAGGAACATAGGGATTTAACATGGGAAATTAGTTTTATGCAATATCCTGCCCTCCTGTAAATTTTACAGAAAAAAACTGTAGAGTTTAAAGTTGTTCAGAATTAAAAGGTGCATAGAAAACTGTTTTACATGTTTTAATAAGCTTTTGGTATACCCACAAATTTAAAAATAGTTTCAAAATTTCTGTTATTAGTAGCAATAGCCATGACTTTTGTTGCTTTATGAATTGCTACTAATAACAGAAATGTTGAAATTTATTTTTAAATTTGCGAGTATACCAAAAGCCTAATAAAACTTGTAAAAACAGTTTTGTATGCACCTTTTAATTCTGAAGAACTTTAAACTCTACAGTTTTTTCTGTAAAATGTACAGGAGGGCAGGATATTGCATAAAACTAATTTCCCATGTTAAATCCCTATGTTCCTACTTACCGTGCACCACCCGGTATACATATGGGATATGTATTGTAGTGTACTTAACCCCCAGGTTCTACGCTAACTTCACACTATAAGAACACGGAGATAAAGTCAACCCGGCAACGTTTAAAAATGGTTCCCTCCAAAACTAAACAAGATCCCGCTTAAATTTGAAAAGTGGCATGTGATCAAACATCTAGGCAGGGTCCCCTTACGTTAGTTATAAACAACGCCATGACCGAAAGCACAGTAGGGAAGAACGTTAAATAAAACACTGAAATAATTGTGAAATGATCGTAATTATTATGATTGTAAAAGCCCGGAAATTTAGTTCATGTACTTACATTAATATAAACAAAGCAAACAAAGCCAAAAGGTGTCGTACTCTCGCACAAGTAACTGCTAAGGGTAAAAAGAGTACGACGTAAGAAAAAACTCGCAGTTTGATTAATACAGTCCAAAAGTTAATTAACAAAATATTTTGTAAAAGTTTAAGCAGTAGTTACCAAAGATAGTAAATGCATACACAATGTTGGTTACACTCAAGGTTAAAAGCAAGTTTTTGGGAACAATGGGTCAGGTAGCCAGCAGGTACCTAAATTCTGAGAAAGGGTGAAGAGTACAGGATGTGACTCATCTTTGGTGTAGAGAATAAAGTCCTTTTGTTAAAAGCAAGATGGAAAATTAGATGGCCTTGTAGGCATATTTAACTAAAAACGAGATATGTGGAAATTATTGAATCGCCACTCATTTATCGCACATAGATTCTAAACTGAAGAGCTTTGATTGGCGTAATCTCGCTTCTGCAAGAATTTTTAGACTTTCGATTCACTGTTCAGAACTATTTTTAGGCGTCACCAGGATTTATGTGTTCTATTACAAAAGCCTCTTATATCCATATCACTGATTTCCAAGATCTTCCTAGAGCTTTTCAGGAAAAATTATTGGTCGAGAACGCGCTGAGAAGGCTCTTGAAAAGTCTAAAAGGGGCCTAAGGAGTTAAAGTGTTGAAACCTTTCTAGCTCTGCTCTCTCTACGGCTCTGTAATGGAACTCGAAACCATAAAGTGTTGCATATCACATAATTCTTGTGACATTATCCTTCTATAGAGAGTAAAGACCCCTCCATTTGGCGGTTTATACATATAATTGCTTATTGCTTCAAACTCTTCGAAATTTCCAAGTGAGCTTATTAATTTGTCATCGTCACCAAACTCCCAGTTAGAGCAGATCACCTTCCTGTTCGATCGCCATTCGCCCATAGTTGAAACTAATTGACTGTAATTAAACCTGATGTATGTCCAGTGGGGGCAAGACCACGTTCTAGGGTGGGGCTCAGCCCCGCCTGGCCACCCCCTGGCTACGGGCCTGCATGTCTGTTATAAGATTTTAACAGAACAGGGTGATCTAGAATAGATTGAACAGCGTCTGATTTGTACCCAATTTTTCATTAGCATTCTTGCAATAAAGATCATGCTTTTGATAAAGTGACTTCATCGGATCATTAAATTATTTCAGTTTCAGCTGGTTTCAGGTACAAGAAAGAAGAATGAAACTAATCGCTAACTATATATATTCAAGTGGGTTGATTAGATAATAAAGGTTAAATTGGTTCATTTACATTACAAACCCCCACCAATACAGATTGTATAAGTGATTTGTTTAACCTTTAGCTGCTGGCAATCTACTTTATTCTATGCTACTGCAAAAATGTACGTGATTTTGCCTTTTTTGATACATTCAGTGCTAAGCGCAAATATTTTGCATATTGCTACGATTGGTAGCCGGAGTCATCATATATGGAATCGTGCTCTCGCAATTGGCCTAACCGAGAAAGGCCACAATGTTACCCTGCTCACTCATACATCGGAAGACCAGAAACTGAAAAACTTCCATATTATTTTACTGGAAGGTATGAAAAATGCATGAAGATGAATAAAAATGTTGCAATTTTTCAGGTTTTTTTGAGAAAGGATTTGATGGTTTCAATTTAGATTCACTACCAGAAACAGACGCCCTTTCTGGTATAAAATTGTTGTACGATTTCTCACGTTACTCATGTGAGCACGACTTTCAAACAAAGGGTTTGAAAACCTTAATAAACTACCCAAAGGATTTTAGATTTGATCTAATCATTATCGATATCACCCTACAGCAGTGCCTCTACCCATTGATCGACAGATTTAACAATCCACCGTTGGTGGCTGTTACACCTTTTTTACTTCCACCTGTTTTGGCGCATATCTTTGGCAATCCCTTGCAAACTGCGTACATGCCTTACTACAGTACAAAGTATAGCGATAAAATGACCTTTCTGGAAAGAATTAAAAATTTTCTTCTCATCCATGCCGAAATTTTGTATAAACGGTATATTGGTACTCCAACGGAGTTAAATTTGGCAAGAAAGTATTTTGGTGAGCATATACGGGACTTTGAAGAAATTGAAAGGAATATATCGATATTAATAAGTAATTACGATCACATATTAGGCTTTCCTTTGGCATTAGCACCAAATATCATACCAGCAGGAGGATTGCATATAGCGCCAGTTAAACCGCTACCAAACGTAAGTGACTAGCTTAGTTGACTGTATTAATAGATATTACAGGACCTGAAAACGATTGCAGACAGCGCAAACGACGGTTTGATAGTATTCACATTGGGTAGTTACATAAGATCCGATCAGCTGAGTATCACGAAAAGAACTGCAATTCTGAACGCGTTTGCCAAACTTCCACAGACGATAATATGGAAATTTGAAAGCGAGATAAAGGGTCTTCCCAAAAATGTTATTGTGCGCAAATGGTTACCACAGAACGATCTTTTAGGTTGGTAGTAGATCGAATCTCGGACAGCTTACGAGCTTCCTATTGTAGGGCATCCAAAGGCCAAATTGCTCATTACACATGGAGGCGGACTAAGCACTCAGGAAGCAATGCATCATGGAGTACCAGTCATCGCAATACCCTTCTTTTCAGATCAACACGCCAACGCAGGAAAGCTGGTCAAGAGACAGATGGCTAAAATGTTGACGTACCACGAAATAACAACGGAAAAATTATATTCCGCAATAATGGAGATCATCGGCAATCCCATGTAAGTTACTGCTTTTTTTATTTGTTGGGCATCGATTATAGTCTATTCAGTTACAGCAAAAATATAAAGGAGTTGTCACTGAGGTATAAGGATCAGTCAGAAGAGCCACTAAAGAAAGCTGTTTATTGGGTTGAGTACGTGTTACGGCATGGTGGTGTGACGAATTTAAGTTTGGCCTCGAGGGATATGTCGATTTTTGAAGCAACAAGTTATGATGTTGTCTTGGTGGTGTTGTTAGGATTGTACCTTTTGTACTCATTAACTTTATTTGTATTTACTTGTATCAGATTTACATATCGCACGTTAAGTGGTAGGACGTAAATTGATTATTGACCCATTTTAAATTATTATTATTTATATTACATAAATGACGATAAAGAACCTGTAGGACCTGAAAATGAAATGTCACATACAAGTTGTAGAGATACCAAGTAACTGTGTGATAGTCCCTGTTTTTTTTATGGTCCAGGAACGTTGGGTCGCCTACCTACACTTCTCTCCATAATGGTTTTTGATTCAAGGAAGTACGATGAGACCAAAAGATTCTACGTCACCTTCCTATAATTCAACAGTCCTTCGTGTTTTTAAAGTTCTTTTTGCCTTGATCATCCACAAACGAATGTTTTAAAAAGGAAAGTATTTTCCTTTTCAAAAATAAAAAATTGATCAAAGTCCTCGTGTGAGATCGAAGGGACTTCAGCCACTTATATTTAAAAATAGAAGTCGTAAAGTAAGTTTATCAAATATATTTACTGTTTTTTCAAAAAAAGACGTACGACAATCGGCTTGTGGTAGGAAAAATAACATTAAATATAATCTATTAAGCAATGACTATAAGGCTTGTCGGAGGCTGCCGCATTCCCTTTGAGGATTTGACTTCACCACCAGTAAGATCGTGTCTGGGGCTACCACGTTCCCTTTGTTGGTACCTACTTTCGAATCCCCGTTCAGTCGCAATTCGCGTTTGAAGATTTGACTTTACCATCAGTAAGATGGTGTCGGGGGCTACCACATTCCCTTTGACGGTACCCACTTCCGACTTCCCGTTCACCCTAAATTCGCGTTTGAAGTTTTCACTCCACCATCAGTTAGATCTTGTCGGACGTTACCACATATCCTCTTTCGGTGCATACTTAGGTATATTGCACTCACATTTTGGTGGATTTCGCTAAAAACCTTCCACAAGAGAGTACTTAATTTTTGGGGTACTTCTCATTACTCGAGCTTCTATTAGCGACACGAGACAGAGAAACAGCGATTCGAGATTTACGAAACGTTAAACCGCGTGACAAAATTCGCAACGGAAGGTAAAAGGCGCCCGAAGTTGACCACCTCTCGTAGACGCGCGCGCGCGCGCCGTGCAAAAGGTCGTTAATTTCGCCCCGAGGACAAAAAGCAAAATTCCGCCACGCAGGAGATGTGCGCGTTTACAACATCTTTCCGACGACACCAATTTGAAAAGAGTCGGACCAAAACTATAGTAAAAGATAGGAAAAAACTGAAAAACCTTCACGTTAGTAAACTTCGCTCGAGGATGACGCCCAGATGTCCCCAACCCCACATCATATAGCCCTGTCCCTAAGGTTGACATATTATACGGCCTTGTAGATACACGTACACCCGTCGCCTTTCTACAAGAGTTCTTCTACGCGCCCACATTTGCTGCCAGCCAGCCAACCAAAGTGCGATTAAAAGCTACTTCTTTTACAAATAAATTTGCAAAAATGCGCTAAAAATTGGCTGTGGCTAGCATAGATACTACCCGCACGCAGATTCCTGGTGCTCCAAAACGTGTATTTCCGTCAAAAAAGTGGGGGAGGGGGTAAAAATAACTGAATGATGCAGTAATGAAGAAGCGGAAGCTAGCACATTTAGTAAGGGAGGTATTGTTTTGGGATAAAAAATGACCCCTCACTATTTTAACGGTAATACACACTTTGAAGCATCAGGAATCCGAATCAAACAAAATCTCGATGATGTTGATCGGTCTATCGGTCTGTCTGCCTGTACTCTCATTTCCGTCTAAACGGCGTTAATAGAATAAGTGTGAAAATTGCGAAAGAGGTGAAGAGTGGGGTGAAGAAGACGCGGCAGAAGAACTCGTGAAACAAGGGACGGTGATTGCAAAAGACGTGATTGAAACGTGAAGAAAGAAGGCGGACCAAACAAACAAAATGTAAAGAAAGTGCAAAGGAAAAGATGTGAAAGAAGAGGGTATGAAAGAATGGCCAAGGAGGCATAAAGTAAGAAAAGTGATAAAAGAGGTGAAGACAGATTTTTTAAAAGAAGTTATGTACTGGTATGTGAAGAAATTAGATATATCTAGGGGTAGAGTGAAACCCCCTGAAGGGAGACATGGAATACTCGATAAGGGTGTCTGAGAGGTCAAAATGGTATAAAGATGACATAAAGAACAATCATAATAGAAAACTGCCAGAAGCACAATGGAAAGTGAAGTTAAATAAAGAAATAACACAAGAGTAAAAGAAGAAAATGCGACGGAAGAAGACGTGCTGTTGTAAGATATGTGAAATTGGGGGTGCAAATGAGGTTCGAAAGCATCGTGGGGATATCACAAAGAAATGGATGCATATGCGAAAGAGATCTGCAAAAAGAATGAAAGCGGTATGAATGAATACGTTAAAGAAGATGCTGAATGGATGAAGAAAATTGATCCATGATGAAGTCGCAAAGAGGGTGAGAAGCTTGATGAAGACGTGAAAAATGAACGAGTGAGGGAGGATGGAGAAGTAATGGAACGAAGTCTAAAGAGGAGGGCCCAGGAAGCGGGATGTGCATGCAGCTAGAGGGAATGTAAAACCAGAGAAGTAGACGGAAGAGGACTTGGTTATGGTTATTTTCATTTTTGGTTGTAGAATAAACTTTGCTTGTGTGAAATCATGCAAATCGTGTGTTTATTCAATCCCTTTAACGACTCAGATATATGTCTCATGTTTAATTATGATTAATTTTGTTGATTCCTACTCAAAGTTCACTTCAAGTGTCTTCTTCAAAATTTGATAAGTGATCCTTTTGAATTTGATCGTAACCAGTGTTTGCTTTAAATTTGGAATTTAGAGGCGCAAAATTGAATTTTTTTATTGTGCCGCAAGATTAAGATCATCGGCGTCATTTAAAGTAATCCGTTCCAGTAATAAGGTACTAAATCTTCAAAGTAATATGACTTGTAAGAGATCTACGTGACCTTTGAACATTTTATTCTTAATGGTCTATTTACCAGAACGGGGTGATAAACACCACGACTCTGAAACAATCTGCGCGTAGACCTGGGGCTCTTATCTAACTTTTGCTTCATTAGCCGAGCGCAAAAGGGTATCGCTGCAATATGTATACAACATTTCGCTAATAATTAAACAAGTACCCGGTTTCATTTACTCGGTAGCAGATTATTTTTACATGAAGTAAACAAACTTTTTTTGGGTTATAATACTGTCGTCCTCGAGATTACTACCACTAAATATGCATTACCTTTAAATATGCATTACGATGAGTGTAAACAATAGAAGCTTCTTTTTTATCTATTATACACAAACCTAGAAGAGATATGACAATGTATAATTGAAGCTTCAATTTTTTTAACCTTTATTTCTAATAGTCGATACAGCATGAACGTGGTGCTCCTTTTATTAATAAGAATGGCCTTGAGCGCCAATATTTTGTATATCGTACCCCTTGGTTCTCCAAGCCACGTCATATGGAATCGGGCACTGGCGGTTAGTTTAAATGACAAAGGTCATAACGTCACCATGGTTACTCACACTGAAGAAAAACAGAAAATCAAAAACTTTCATACTATTTTACTGGAAGGTCAGTATACTTTTAGATTTTTAGTATAACATATGCTTCTACAAGAGTATTGTTTCAGGTTTCTACGAAAAAAAGTATGAAGCTCACAGTTTAGAGTCACTGTCAAAACGAGATGCGTTTTCTAACATTAAGGCAAGGTACGATTATTCATTTTATTCGTGCGTGCACGATTTAGAGACCGAAGGTTTCAAAACCTTACTGAATTACCCCAAGGATTTCAATTTTGCCCTGATCATTTTTGATATTACTAATGAGGGATGTCTTTACCCGTTGATCCAAAGATTTAACAATCCACCAGTGGTGGCAGTTACAACTTTCTTACTATCACCTGCTCTGGCGCATGTTTTTGGCAATCCCATGCAGGCCGCCTACTTCCCATTTTATAGTACGAAGCACACCGATAGAATGATTTTTGTGGAAAGGATGAAAAATTTTCTACTGATTCACTTTGAGATTCTATACAGAAGGTACATTAGTCTGCCAGCCGAGTTAAAATTGGCAAAACAATATTTTGGTGAAAATATTCGAGATTTTGAAGAGGTCGAACGAAATATGTCCTTATTGATATGCAATTATGACCCCCTATTAAGCTTTCCTTTGGCTTTGGCACCTAACATCGTTCCAGCGGGGGGTTTGCATATTGAGCCCGTTAAGCCACTACCAGTAGTAGGTGATTAATGTAGGTGGTACGACATTCTAATGTAAATATTGCAGGACCTAAAAAAGATTGTGGAGGACGCTCAAGAAGGTTTAGTTATATTTGCGTTGGGTAGTTACTTCCGGTCAGATCAGTTGAGTATTACTAAAAGAACTGCAATATTAGACGCTTTTGCAAAACTTCCCCAGACGGTGTTATGGAAATTTGAAAGTGAAATAACTGATCTTCCGAAAAACGTTTTTGTAAGGAAATGGCTACCGCAAAATGATCTTTTAGGTGAACTGATATAAAATCCGCGATTTGATTTTAGCTTGCTGTTTCTAGGAAATTGTAAAACGAAATTGTTAATTACACACGGAGGTGCACTGAGCACCCAGGAAGCGATGTACCATGGAGTACCAGTGATCGTAGTTCCATTCTTTATAGATCAGCATGCAAACGGGGAAAAACTTGCTGATAGACGTATGGGAAAAGTAGTGAGTTACCATGATATCACGTCAGAAAATTTATTTGCTGCTATCACAGAGGTCATCAACAATCCCATGTAAGATACTTTTTTCCGTTGTGTCCACTATACAGAGTTGTTTACCCAGGTACAGTAAAAATATAAAACAATTATCACAACTGTACAGAGATAGTCCAGACCATCCATTAGAACGAGCTGTTTATTGGGTTGAATTTGTGTTACGGCATGGAACAGCGAAACATTTTAATTTAGCATCGAGAGATATGTCGACATACCAGCTTGCTAGTTACGATGTCGTTCTCGTCTTGTTGTTAGGATTGTTTCTCCTATATGAATTAACGTTATTTATTTTCACCTGTTGTCGGTGGACTTATAGCATCAAATCTCCCGTAAATATAGCACTATAACACTCAAACAGAGTTGGTCCGCTTCTTTACTTCAATCTCCTCTTAAACCTCCTAATGTTTCGCTCACAATTCACTGATATTCTTCGTGCTCTCTTTAAACCCTTCACATCTCTTCCTCTGTCGCTTTGTCTATGCCTCTAGCCCCTTACCCTTTCTTTTATGCCTTTACACTTACGTGGGACCTCCAGTCACCATGATCCATATCATTTTCACTTCTCCTTCATGTTTTTTTCACACCACCTCTACGTCTAGTTAATTTAATTTCATCTGCATCTGCTATAATGCTAATATTGACAAACATTTTTTTAATTTGAGAGACTCGGTACGTGGGCTTGATCAACTTCAATCAATTACAAACAATTTTTTATGCAACTTTTGATTAATAACTAAAATAAATCTTGGGCACAAGTAGGAAAGTCTGAGATGAAAACTCTATTTGAGTCGCACAAAGGATTCAAATAAACGCATAATTAAGTTATCGACAATGAAACACATGAAGTAATTAAACCAAAATCCCTGAAAGAAAGAGAAGCTTACAAAACTTAATGACTTTAATGAAAGACAAACCTTTTATAAAGGTTTTACTAAGCTGACAACTCATTTGTTTACTCACACTCGAACT